TCACCTTAAATATCACCGTCCACAACCGCTCCTCCCGCCCTATTCACCCCATCCTCCGTCTCCAACCCAGCCTTCGCCACCAGCCAAACAACATCGCCCTAGATCTAACCCGTCGTCTCGTGTGGACCGGAATGCTGCAACAAGCACTCCCCGTCTTGCCAAGCGGAGAGTCTACCAACGCCTCCATCGGTGTCACGGTCCTCTGCCGCGGCGAATACGAGTTCGGCGCAAGCGTCGAGGAAGCCCGACTCATACGTCCATCTTTCGATGATGATGGTGATTCCCCTGCTGACCGCTACAACGACGATGGTATCATGGATACCTTTGGTGCAGATGTCGTGCGGCGACGACGGATTTGGCATGCGAAGGAGTTGTGTATTCTCAATGCGAGCGACTGATGATCTCGGTGTTTGACTGTTCTGGTCTGGTCTCGTGTCATTTGAACGTGAGCATAGACATAATTTCATCTTGTCTAACTCCTGTCTTTTTCTTCTTTTAACTTAATTCGATGATGACCATGTAGCATACATACCCTTAACACCCTTCTGTGCAAACTTCTGTCTAGATACCTCAGGCGTTGTCTGTTTCCCACTGCAAATATATTTGAAATCTGTGAGAGCATGATATGCTGTTAAAAAGGGTGTATGTTCACAGAATACGCCTCAATCTGATATGTTCCTATGAAAATACAGGGATTTACTAAAAGATAACTACGATGGTCATGGATGTTAGGTGTCACTGCGGGGTTATCTCGGGCTTTTCCCCGCATTTCCTCTAAATAGATCGCCGTGTCCTTCACTTGGATATTCACTTTCGAATTCTCCCTCAATCATGGCCCAGACTCACCTCCTTACTTTAAACTATAAAGGCGATCACAAAAAGCCTGATACTATCCATGACACCCAAAACTTCATCGACAATGAATTGGTTGGCTCTAAAACAACCACATGGATCGAGGTCCACGACCCCGCAACAAACAATGTAGTCTCACGAGTCCCGGAAACAACCCCTAGCGAGTGCAAAGCCGCAGTGATCTCAGCTCAAAATGCATTCCCCGCCTGGCGAGACACTAGCATCATGAAACGACAAGAAATGATCTTCAAGTTGACCAACCTGGTCCGCGAGAACATGGATTCCCTAGCAATATCCATCGTCACAGAACAAGGCAAGACCTTTGCCGACGCAAAAGGTGATGTTCTCCGCGGATTACAAGTCTGTGAAACCGCCTGCGGAATCACCACACAGCTTCCCGGCGAGGTCCTCGAGGTAGCCAAGGATATGGAAACCCGTTCCTACCGTCTCCCTCTCGGGGTTGTCGCATCCATCTGCCCTTTCAACTTCCCCGCCATGATCCCTCTTTGGAGTCTCCCGATTGCCATTGTGACTGGTAACTGCCTGATTCTGAAGCCAACCGAACGCGCACCAGGTGCTTCCATGATCATCGCTGAACTTTGCAAGAAAGCGGGTTTCCCACCGGGTGTTGTAAATGTTATCCACGGATCGAAACCAGCGGTTGACTTTATCTTGGACGCCCCGGAGATCAAGGCTATCTCCTTCGTCGGGTCGAACAAGGTTGGCGAATATATTTACGACCGTGGCACCGCGAATGGGAAACGTGTCCAGGCAAATCTAGGCGCTAAAAATCACGCAGCTCTTCTGCCGGATAGTAATAAGAAGCATGCTTTGAACGCCATCGCTGGAGCTGCATTTGGAGCGGCTGGTCAGCGTTGCATGGCGCTAAGCGTCTTGATTACAGTTGGTAAAGCTCGCGAATGGCTGCCCGAATTGATTGAGAACGCCAAGGGGTACCAGGCTGGAAGTGGGTTTAACGCCCGATCTGATCTGGGTCCGTTGATTACGCCCCAGAGCCGGGATCGCTGTGTAGACCTCATCTCGAGTGCGGAGAAGGACGGTGCCACTATCGCGTTGGACGGTCGGGAATACAAACCCGAGGGTTTCCCTAATGGAAACTGGGTATGGAAATCCTGAGTCCCAGTGTTTACTTCAACTCCTATAAACTATCCTGCTAACACGCCAATTTGATAGGTCGGTCCGACTATTATCACCGGGGTGAAACCCGAAATGAGATGCTACCGAGAGGAGATCTTCGGCCCTGTCTTGCTTTGCATTGAAGCCGATACAATCAACAGCGCAATTGACCTAATCAATAGCAACGAATGGGGCAACGGTGCAGTCATCTTCACCCAGTCCGGATCTAGTGCGACGCACTTCCAGAAGCGCGTCGAGTCCGGACAAGTTGGAATTAATGTTCCAGTCCCCGTTCCCCTTCCCATGTTCTCCTTCACCGGTAACAAGCGAAGCGTGGCTGGAACGGGACTGCTCAACTTCTATGGCAAGGACGGTCTCCGCTTCTATACACAGTGGAAGACTGTCACATCGCTGTGGAGAACTGAAGATGCAACTGAGCTTGAGAAGCCAACCTCAATGACTTGATTTGGTCGTGAGGAATAACGTGCATATGGCGGACTGGGAGAAATATATCTAGGAAGTAGTTTGGGAGATTTTTGATAGGCACAGACATATCGAGCATTTTATTCCTGGAGATCATTGCATTAGGTGCATTCATGGTATTAACAATAATAGTCGGCGGGTTATACAGCCTCTATCCTTAACGTAGGATTTCAATATGTAAGACGACCATCCGATGTCTTTTTTAGATAACGAGTCGACATCAACAAAATACTGGATCTGACTTGAGTTGCAATTTATGTTGCTGGCATCTACATCTTTTTGTTGTTCAATGACTGATCATTCTGTTCTGTAACCAAAAACACAACTCCTCTCCCAATTAGTGGATTCCAAGGTTGGTCTTTAAGAATGACTCACTCCCCCACAGTGGGCACGCTGGTATCCACTCTCACGGCCCGATATTCTTCCGGTCTTTTGATAGACCCACGAGTTTAGATAACTTAGTGTTAACACATCAGGTGTCACTTGATAATTTCATGCCAGAAGTATCGACTACTAAACAATGCATCGAGGTTATAAAGGGCTATATGTTGACGTAAATGAGTTTGGATCTCCTATTTGCAATTTGGGTTGGCATACTGGGTCCAAGGGAATTAGATGCTACTAACAAAGTGATAACAATGTTACAATACACTCACCGATCTCTTGAGATAACAGGATAAAATGAATGGCAAATTAGACGGAATCCCGTACAAGTAACTTTGCTGCTTGGCAAAACAGTTTGGACTATGTGCTGGCTCCTATTGAAGAACAGAGTCAGGGTTCTCTAAGCTCTTGGCAATAAAAGCCAGCAAAGGAATGCGCCTAGAAGACCAGGGTAATTCTCAAGGTACAAAAGAGCTTTGGAAGGAAATTTACACCCTTCACTCAGAGTGCTTGAAGTACGAGTCAATCTTGGCGGGTTCAATTGAGAAAACAGTTCTGGTTCCATCTAGAGTTGCAAGCATGAATGTCGCATTTTGCACACCCTAGAGACAAATCGAGGCTGTTGGGCATGCGCTCAATGATACCCAATTCCCGCAGCTGTCGCTCATCTTGAGAGAAGATGGCACAACTTGGCATTCGCTTAGATGCGGATAGGTTCCGGCATTCATATCCGTGGACAATGTTCCCATCGAGAAAAATCACAAATTGCTTTTATAGCACAAGATAAGTGATGATACACTATCACTTCTGACTTTTTTTTTTGGTAGGAAGCGGAGCCACATGAAATCTCTATTAGAAGGTGCTATATGCGGAAAAATAACTAAGGGACAAGAAATCACAAAATTTCTCGTTCGAAGTACGAGGACCAAACTTGATATGAGTTGAATAGCATGATTTTATCGCCGAGCCAAACCAGCTAACTAAGTATCATTGAAACTGGCATCTTCTAACAGCCCGGCCGGGCTAGCTCAATCGGTAGAGCGTAAGACTCTTAATCTTAAGGCTGCGGGTTCGACCCCCGCGTTCGGCTATTCCTAAAAACCAAACCTGAGATTTCTTTTTTGTTCTTTTCTTTTTTTCTCGCATGGGAATTGGATGAGTTTTTCAAGATCCACTTAGGGCTGCCGGCTCCGGCGGAACCTTGGCTAGCGTCTTGGCGTTTGGATTACCTAAGCAGAAACCAAGGTGACCTCCTTGCAAACCTGGCAATGCTCTTCGCAGTAACAACTGGCAGGCTTCGAAACTCATATATAGCAAGCAGTTTATTCTTTTCGAGTCCAAGCAAAGACTTCAGCTGCTCTCAAGTATCAGATCTCTATCTGTTTGAAAAAGTTTGATGCAGAAGAATGGCTCACCGTTCAACAAGACGTATATAGCTCATTCGAAGCTCTGCCGTGGAAAGTTAAGTGAAAAGCACTGGATCACGTTACCGCCGCACTGGACTCTCAACTGGTCAGCTCATCGGATACGAGTCTTTCTGAAACACACCGTACTTTAACATCTACATCTACATATACCCTTGCTACATCATCACTGTGATGTGTTGGCCATATGTGAGATCTTTAGGCGCGTGGCCTAAGGGTTGTTTGTTGAAATATAGCCTCCGTTCATTCTCATCCTCTACCCGCATCGTCGCTCCACTGAAACCTGAACATCTCATTCCCATGAACGATTCCCAATTTTCTAATAGGCCGAAGCTTCAGAATCCCACCGCACAAAGGTTGGGAGAAGTTCTTTCAGCATGGCTTCCTAACACACCCGAGGGCCTTTACGATAAATATTTGCAAACTCTCTCTCCTACTTATGATCATTTGTTGACATATTCACGATACGACCGGATCTGGCGTTTTTCTGAACATACCCCTCACAGCCTGTCCTATCATTCTGAGATTGCTCTTTTGTCCTCTCCGGTGTTTGTAGTGAATATCGGCGACGGCGATCGAGTTATAGATCATGGTGACTATGATGGGACAGACCCTGAATCCATGCGAGACCTAGAATTACACCTTTCCAACACGGATCCTGATTCAAAGGATCACCCTCGCTGTCGAATCATCTGCGCACAACATATCACGTGTTTGAGCATGGAGGCATTGGGTAGTGGACTTTCTTTGGACCCTAATGTCTTCAGTCACCATATCGGGACATCATTCAAGGACATTGAAAAGAGTACAGGTATCGATAAGCTCTGCAGCACAAAGATTGGCCATATCCCTTCATCTGTCGGTACCTACGAGCACGAGAGAAACCTTCAAATCGTCAAAAGGCACCTAGGGCGACTTTCCATTGCCAGTGTGGAGCATGCAAAAGATCTAACCACCCGGGATTCGGCTGTCAAGTCCATCTACCTTCATCAGGACCATCCCATCACATTTTCTGTGGATGTGCCACGAACGATCTATGCGCAAGGATATCAATCTGAGGACGACAGAACACAGGCTATTGGAAGATTCCTACGTACAAGAGTGTTGGCACTACAGGACCGAGTGTTGAATCGTCGCATTTCTCGGCAGCGATTTGTTGACGATAGCATGTTCTGCGATCAAGGTGAACGATATTCACAAAATGGCCTTGACATCCTACAGCACATTACCATCCATGTCATAAACGACGCCAAATTTCAACAAGGTATGGATGACTCTGTGTTTACACATCAATGAGATCGCACAATTTACCAATTTACCAATTAACTAATTTTGTTAGTCTTGGTTTTGTTTCCACCTTGTCCGGAATTTGATGGAGACAATTCAGACAACGATCCTTATGTTTTTCTTGACCCTCTGAGAAAGCAAGAACATACCAAATCATTCAAGGAATTCTGTCTCAATCGGGATAAAAAGGACTATGAATCCACAGGGGCATCAGCATCTCGACGGACTATGTCTCAGGACGTTGAAATATTCTCCAATGATATTCTCCTTGAGAATCAAGCTGGTACCCCCAAAGGACTAACGGACGTGGTCCACCTTATACGATCTTACGCTCTGAATGCATGGTTTGATCGTCTGCAGACATTGAAAGACCAGCTTGAAGATCTCAGTCTTCAAAGCCTATCCCATCGAAGCATACAACACGACGAACATCCACAAGATTCAGACGAGGAAAACCCTACATGTGATGGTCTGATTGATGAAGAAGGGATGAAAGGTGCTATTCTTCGCTACATCGCGTCACTCGATAGTGAATGCCAGCGGTTGAAAATTGATTTGCATGCGGCGAAAATAGGATTGTCCACAACCGGCTCCGACTCTGTTCGAACATTAGAACAGACAATGGAGAAGTATACTCACATACGATCCCAAATGAGCAACCTTCTCTCTGAAACCCAGCATTTACTCGACATGAAGAACAGCAAGATACAACAGGCTTTAACGACTCTCCAAATCAAAGAAAGCAGAACGTTCATCGAACAGGCAAAAACAGTGAAGAGGTATGATGTCGGCCAATCTTGAGAGAATTAGGACTGACATATGCTAGGCTTATCATAATATCCTTCTTTTTTATACCGTTGTCCTATATCTGCTTGACATTAAGCATAAAATTTGGTAAATGGATTGCCTAGAGGCATTGCTATGACATTCCCCGGCGTTTACTTTTGCGGGCTAAAGGCAATGAGATCATCATAATGGCTCCAAAGTGTGTTGAGACGAGACGCCGGGATCCCTGTTTATCAGGCTAGCTAGCCTTTATTTGTTTGTAGGGAATATTTTCCTCTTTCCTCTCCCTCTTGTCAAAATGGCATGAATGAATGCATGTACGTCTGCATTATGGGTCTATGATGTAAGGGATATACCCCGTAGTGTGGGGCCTATGGGGCTTCAAGGTTAAGGCTCGGCAGGACGGGATCATCCTTTAGTTCAGGTGGGTCACGTGCTTGTCTTTTTCTCATGTATGAAGCCCCTGATTTAATGCAAGCCTTGGCTTATTTATTTCACGCCAGTCTCTTCGTCCATCCTACGCTTTCCTCTTGAATTCTCTCCACCACAGATCAAAATGAGTGGCTATCCAGTTTTGCAGGTGCCTGCTGGGGCAAGATTCATCGCCGTGGGGGCCGCAGGGGCTGTTTTTGAAGATAGCAATGGAGTCATCAAAATCCCTATCACCCACAATCTCACGGGATGTTCTGAATCAACCATCAAAACCATGCAACACATATCATATATATCGGATCTATGTATCACCCGCGAAAAGCTTATCTACCAGACTCTGCCGAAGAACCCAAACATCCTCGATTGCGTCGACATTACAGAGCAAGGCCTCCACTTTCCATATTATCGATTTGGAGACCTCCGCACCTATCTACGTGATAATAAGCCGTCTGAGGATATTCGACAAAAGTGGATCAAGAATGCTATCGATGCTATCACTTTTATCCATAGCCATGGTGTGGTTCATTGTGATATTAGTCCTCGGAATTTCCTCGTGGCCGATGATCTATCTATCAAACTATGCGATTTTGCCGGGTCGGTCATTAGCGATATGGAGGCATACGTGGAGGAAGAAGACCGATATCGCTTAGCACCATGGACACCACGGTCTTTCAAAACGGACTTGTTTGCTTTGGGATGCCTGATCTACGAACTTTCAGGAGGTACCCGGCCATATGACGAAATCGAAGATGTCAAAGAGGTCGCCAGGCTGTATGCTAGTCAAAATTTCCCGAATCTTGACGGCTTCAAATACCAAGACCTGATCTACAAGTCCTGGACTTCTGCATACACAACGGTGGATATGCTTCGGGAGGACTACTATCGTATTGAAAATCCCGATACTGTATCGGCCGGTCTTGCTTCAAGCCTCTTGTGGAAGCCCGTTGTGGCATCGGTGTTTGGTGCTATTTGTTTTGGTTCCGTAGTTTTTTGGGCTCCAGAAGCGGGCTTTGAGATGATCGAATTTTGCTTGTTGTACGCTCGCGCTTCATGTTTGGAACTTTCCGCACTGTGTTCTTCCCGCTTGACCTGTTTTTCAATTCGCGCTTCGGTATATGGCACTTCAAGTCGGCGGGCTTTCCTGTCCTAGCCGGCCTCTATACATTAGATTAATCTGGACTAAACAAAGAACAAGGAAGTCACATCGCAGTGGGGCTCCTTGCTGAATAGAATTTCCACGCGCTTATGGGGGTCCCGGGCTACCTGGTCCTCGAGGCTGAAGAGTATCCCCTACACCGTCTCACCAGGCTCTGTCGAGAGAGTTAGAAAACAGATTTTGAATAAGGTGTAGTCCGACCCGAGGCTTACATTCCTTCATCCCACTTTTCCATGAATATGCTAGTTTTCAAAAATAAATATACATTCAAGATGCCTTCCCAAACCGGAAATTACAGACTGTTCCATGTGTTCACGATTGGGCGTAGATCGTCGCACAATCCAGAGACCTTGGAGTGTTTCCTCCGTTTTCCAACGGGTGTCGACATCTGAATTAAGCGAAAGAGCCAACAGCGGGAAGTCTTACGGTAGCCCGCAGGGCTGACGTGGACACTCCCCGTCCAATGCTTGCTCCACCTCATCTCCTCCTTACCGACTGGCGGCGACTAACCAATCGGTAACGACTGGCCAGCTAGCGGGGTCATTCGGATCGATCCCCATAACTAACCATCGCAAACCAGGCCCTATCATCTAGGGGCGTCCCGGGTGTCGTGGAGATCGCCGCCACGGTCCAGAGCGAACTTGAAGCGTCTCAATGTGGGGAAAATTAGCTAGGGGGGTGCATAGAACCTAAAAAGGAACGCGTAATTACTTCTCGCAATTATCTTCTCCCATCTGCATTTATCTATGGTCGGATTCTAGTATTATTTTTTCCAACATGGGCCAAGCTCAAGCTGTACGGGGCACTCGACATACCTGTGCTCCCCTTCTTGGGAAAGCTCTAGGTCTACCCCTGTCTTCGATTTTTCCTCGTCGCCGAATGTTCTTACCTAGTCCCTGCCACATAACAAGTGCAACTCGTCGGACATGTCAATCGAAATCTACCCCGAGAGTCTTTCCTTCTTCCGGATTCACTTTGCTCGATCCGTCTCTAGAGATCGAAGAGGAGACTCTACCAACATATTATCCCGAAAAGTACTACCCTGCCTAACAAGGGGAGGTGCTAAATGAAAGATACCAAGTCCTTGCAAAGTTGGGCTATGGGGTGACATGTACTGTTTGGTTCGCCCGAGACTTGATGTGAGCAGAATCACTTTCTTGTTCTTCATACCTCTAATTCCACTATGAGATAGCGATTCGAAATATGTTGCTCTAAAGATCTATGTGCTTGGCCAAAATCGAGACCATGAGCTTGGCATATATGAACGTCTAAACTCAGTCGAATCCAATCACCCGGGCAAAAGATTCATTCGCAAGCTTTTGGGTCACTTTTATACTGATGGTCCTCACGGTCGTCACATCTGCCTTGTTCATGAGCTCCTAGGAATAAGTGCAGGTTGATAAAATACATCCCTGGACAAACAATGACTCTCAAGGACCTCAAACCCTGCATCAGGCAATTGCTGATTGCCTTGGATTTCCTGCATTCGGTGGCCGGTGTAGTCCATACAGGTAGTCCGCTGCCTTTTCCAAATCCAGAACGATGGCACTAACACACGACTAGACATTCAACTAAGCAACTTACTCCTTCCTTCGCCTGAACACAATGCGCTTGTTCATTTTGAAGAAAAGATAGTCCAGACACAGTCGCCTAGGAAGGTGCTGAAAGAGCGCACAATATACTGTTTATTTGATTGACACGCCCGGCTTTGACGATACATCGAAGAATGACACCGAGATTCTTAGTGAGATTGCGACATGGCTTGGCGACTCATATAGAAGCAAAATTCTGCTCCACGGAATCATATACACCAAGACTACGGCGAGAAGTATCGTACAGCGGCTGACAAAATACAAGAACCCCATAATCACAGATATACAAAAACAACTAGTCGATCAGAATCTCCAACTTGATCAGACAGCTGTCGGAAAAGGGATACAGAGCGAGACCCTTAAAGAGAGAGCAAAATGGATGAAGGAACAAAAAAAATTCGAAGAAGAGATCCGAGAGGCAATGCGCCAAAAGGACCGCGAGAAAGAAGAGATAATGCGCGAGGAGCGTGATATGAGTGCGGCAATGATCAGGAAGGCTAACCAGGACGTGGAAGCCATGCGCTTAAACATGGAAGAACTTATCGCCCAGCGAGAGGAGCGCGAGGCACTCTTGGAAGAGCGCATAGAAAAGCGGATGGAGAAGCAGATGCGAAAGAAGCAGGCTGCTCATGACAAAGAGATCAAACGGATTCAAAGAGAAAAAGAGGCCGAGATGAAAATATCAAGAGAACAAGAGAAGCAAGCCCAACGCGATCGGAAAAAGGGTGGAAGAGAAAAACAGGGCGGAGCAACAGAGAAAGGTGGAACAGGAGAGAAAGGCAAAGGTCGCTGAAGCCAATCGCCAGTCGCAAAACTCTTCATCGAAAGCTCAAGGCTGGTCTCCCTTTTCGGTAACCATGGGAGATTACAGTTGCGCTCTCAGTGGACCAAGATGTTACCAGGCGTACGTTGACAGTGCAAGGGAGCCAACTGCATGAGATACTTACTAATCGTCTCTACCAACAGCTCTAGGGGTGGCTGGCCGAAATCACAGGTTGGCTCGGAATGGATTGGTGCCGTCAGCTATGGGACTTCCGCCACATGGATTGCTCGTTACGGAGGAGGAACTTGGCGTAAGCAATTCCTCAAATCTGCGACAATCTACCCAGCTAAGAGATGTCTCAGAGTACTCACTTGAGCATTACCCAACTCTCGCAGGCAAACTTGCCCATCACTTGAATTTTGTGTCCTCGGGCCTGGGAAAATGTACTATGCCCAGTGGGTGAATGGGTTCTGGTGCAGCGAAGCAACAGAACAGATCAACAACTATTTGACGGAGACTTACAATCGATCGGATGATTCTAAAGTGCTTGCCATGGCATTTGGATACAATGGCGCCTATGTGATTTCATTTGGATGGGCCACTAGATCGACTATCAGGGGAAAGTCCGGCCATCAAAGGGATTTGAAAGGATACTACCCGGATCTAGATCAATTCGCCGATGCAAATACTTCTTTGGATATAGTGGTGAGTCTCTCGAATTGCCTTGATCAGATCTCGGAAATCTCACTTTGCAACAGGCCATCGCACTTGACCCGGATAGCACAACCGATTATATATTAGTCTACAAATCCGGAAACTATCATATACGTTGGGTTTGCTCGGATCCCCGGAGGTCACAAATTATTAGGAGTTGGTGGGACCAAGAATGCAAGCCTAAAGAGGCTGTAGCACCTACACAGTCAACAAATAAGGCTTCAGTGTCGGGATCTTTTAAAGAAATGCTCTCGGAGATCGAGAAGTACATAATTAATGGGAATAGTGGATGGGAAACCGGGAAAATATATCTATCATCAGCTTTTGTGGCAGTTCGAATATTCGGATTTCTTTCGTGCTGTTACCTTCTCTGAGGCGAAACGAATTAAAGGAACTCCTTATGAATCATAAAAGGGAAAAGAGACGGGTAGAATGTAATCCGGTACTTAGGGAAGCTGACATGGTCTCTCCCAGCACTGCCATCGTATATAGATGACATAGAGCCCATATCATGCCGATTTCATCTCCCAGCCTGAAGAGCCTGCATTATGGGGAAAACAACTCACAGTACGATCCAACGCCTGGATATTTCGGTAGTCCCAATGCAACACGGCTCAACAACAGTTCCTTCCCCTCTGTTGTGATAGAAGATCAGTCACGGTCGCATATTCTTAGGCTGCTCCAGTTGCCTGAATGGGAAGAAGGAAGGGTATACGACAAGGACCCTCCGACCTGTATCCACCACCGTATCGAGTGCGTGTTACAGTCAACAATCGAAAGGTGTCAAGGGACACGGAGGAAGACCATTTTGGCCTCTAGTTTCTTTTGGCAGTTGTTTTTGGAAAAGAAAATAGAGAAAATTTTTCGACGAAAAATTGCCCGTCATCTGTGAAATAACTGCTAGTCAAGGCTGAAAGGGCCAAGAGTATCATTCTTGAGAAGTCGGAAACATTGTACCCCAATTATCCGAATACAAGTCAATCATATCATCGCTATGAGACTGCTAGTAGGAGTATTAGCCTAAACTAGGGAATATATACGAATGTTGGCCTTACATAGTTTTCAAATGTCTGTGGTGCCGCAAGGGTTAAGTCCTGCCCTAGAGAGCCCGGAGACTGCGTAGTGTTCTTTGTGAATTCGATGGTAGCGCGGGCCAGTCTCGCGATTTCTCTAACAAAAGGTAGCGCAATGTCGGGTGATGCAAATTCCAAGCGGGCGAAGTGACCTGTGGCGATGTCTAGTAATGCTAGATCTGACGGTGCCGTTGGAAGTGCAGGGTATTTCAAGATATAGATGAAAATATTGATAACACTGACAAGCGGGAAGTATAATGCCAGCCTGGTTTCGGGTATTGACCATTAGTAACATGCCCAGTTCAGCCCCGGAGTTCTGTCAGGACATATCATATGCTTTAGTGGATGACGTACCATATCGGTGTCGATACATCAGTATGGATTACATCAGTGTCTAGGATGATACTCCTTGCTGCATTCACAACGACATGTGCGCTTATTGAGATATCATGCTGCAACGCTGGCGTCTGACTGGAACCCAAAAGAGCACTGTTCCAAGGATGGGTAAGGATAGAATGTATCGCCATGACGCTGCCAAAATAGGCGTAGCGGATATACATGACGGGATACATATTGATGTTGTGCAGCTGCTGGCCATGTCTTCTAGTGGGTAAATCTGGCCGTAAAAACAACGGCAAGGAATCTCGCCATTCCTCAAGTTCCGTATTGAGATTTCGGATGACTTCAATGATTTTTGCGGGAGTTTGCCTGAATGATTTCCCACTTGCCAACTGTTTTGAGATTCGAGATGAGATCTGGGCATGCTGCACTATGTAGGTGAAACAAGCCATATCCGTACTACCAGTGTCCTGGAGTTTTGGCAGAGAGCAGCTGATATCGTCATCGTCAATAATCTGTCCTTTTCAGTCAATTCAATTTTGGCCACATGGAAAAATGGACCAAGAGGACACCAACCGAAGGTCGCCCAGAGCGATAGCTGATGTGCTTTTCAAATACGTAAAGGGTCCAGAACAACTGCATCCGATGCTCTTGTTCTGCCACTGGTAAATTCCAGGATTGGGCCGGCTGTCGATGAAGACCTTTGGCTTGGGCCAACCGCATCGCACAGGAGGAAAGCATGTAGCCAAGGGATTGGCTTCCAAGACCTTCAGCGAAGAAGCTCTGTCGTAATATACAAAAAGCGTCAGAGAAAAGTTCCGCTGGGATCGACACGGGAGATTCAAACCATAGCTGTTAACGCCTGGACGGCCATCAGACCAGTGCTGCAATACAGAAGCTCATTGTGAACGGACATGGCTTTTTCAAAGTATCGCCAAGCTTTGCCTTGGATTTCCTCAGATGTATTTGAGTATGGCATACTGGACATTTTGAGTCTGTAGCCGGAGGCATACACCGTATTGCGTAGCGCATACCAAGCTGGATCATCATCAATCATGCTATTCTGAGTATAGTGATGACGAAGGCGTGCTTCAAAGTGATGTCGAGACACTAGCCCAAGGCTAGCATCAAAAGAATGTTCAAAGTAGGCTGTTATTATTAGTATCAGACAAGTACCGTGAGAGGGACAACAAACCTTGGGAATATTCCCAGGCAGAATCCATATTCGGCTCGGGGATGGGTTCGCGGCGAAAATTGGATCGCATCTTCAGTCGAGAGTCAATATTACGCACAAGGGTTCTAGCAGTCTCAAGGAATCCCGGTTCTCTCGACCTTTCCGATACCCAAGTAATTCCTGGAACGGAGCAGATTGATAAAAAGGATGTTGGCCCTGAGAGCATGTTAGATTCTGAGGACGAGCCGGTGATGTAAGTTTCATACCATGATATTCCCAATCAACCTTTTCAATGGTTAGTCTTATATAGTAATGACAGTGAAAAGCTAACGCAAACAAAGATGCATACCTCGGAACCTAAAAGATCGGCACATTCAACATGCTGCGACGAAGTCTGGGCAGCATCAGGTGGTGTGTGCTGTGTGGTATTTAGTGACTGCGTTAGGTTCGAAATCGAATATAATTTCTCTTGTGTCAGTTGGGAGTGAGTTGAAGGAGTGTCGCTTGGTGAGTGACTCGTAAGATCTGTTTCGTCTAGCAATTCAAAAGCGACGTTTGTCGCGAGAGATGGAAAGTGGCCATCGTTCCTGGTGTTTTGCACCTCTGCGCTTTTGGTAGAGTGTGACGACTCGAGCTGCTGTTCACCAACAGGTGAATTGATTGCGGCAATTTCTATGCTGGAAAGCTCAAGGAGCATTTCCATCCGCGCAAGTCGTTCCTCTAATCCCTCTTTTGGCTTGCTACGCGCAGTGCCGACCCTTCGTTTCATGAAAGGGTAAATGCATTCTTCATTTCGATCCTATGAGGATTAGTCTCGAGCTATAGTTATTGATTGGGGGATAACTTACCAAGCAGTTCTCACATGGTTTCGTCCGACTGCCTGCAGAAGGAGTCAATTCCCGTTTTTCAATGAGTAAGTACTTTTCTAGGGCAGGTTACATTTGATCTTCTTGGATCGACAGTAGATGCAAGCTAATCCTCTTCTGTTCTCTGCCGCTGGATCTCTTCGGGGTGTACCATCCATCTTTAGTTTGGCGTATGAGGCGTTGGGGAAGAAGCCGTGGAAGATCGACAGGAGGCGCTGATGTGTCAGCAATCATGATCACTGTGCCCCTGAAACATGACGAGTATATTACGAAGAAGGTTGGGCATATAGATTATTGAGTCTCAATATTTGAAAAACATGCGGATAGCATTCGATATGCGTTGAATCGCTCGTGTGTGTTAGTTAACATACTAATAAATTACCAAATAATCACCTCAGCAACGGATTCTCTTGATAAATTCAAGTGGAATTCAGCATGCATAGATGGATTTGAATGGATTTTAATCTGTAAAGGAGAAAATTACAACTACTAAGGTCTCAATCATCAAAAAATAACTTAAGAACCGAAAATATATCGAAAACAAAAACAACCGAAAAGGCTACTATGGGTTCTTATTGATGGTTTAAGTTACTTCAAATTTCCTAAAACGCAGCTTGACGCCCTCAATCATGCTCCATATTCTAGTGCACTATCGTACACGATGGAAACAAAATAGGCTCAGACACTAGTCCAATCAATTTCAGCAAAAACTTCCTTCATGCCCACCAAACCAGTGATGCTCAAGTCCTCCTTGATGACTACATCATCCGCGACCCAACTCCTCTCACGAGCGTAATCCCAGAACTGCAACATGAGACCAACCTCACGGCCCCACTTGGGCCATAGGTTATCGTAGTGGTCCAAGGAGATAGATGCGTATTCAGCCGGGGTTCCAGAAACCTCAGACCAAGGCTTCAAAATTTCCTTGGCGGGAAGGGTGATTTGAGGCTGTTGAAGAATGGCGAGGACGTAGATACCGAGGTTGATCTTTGTGGCACCGAGTATAGTGATTGGGGTATCTTCAGCGATGGGCAACAGCTGGACACTTTTGCCAGTGGTTTTCTGCATCGATCGCCAAATTAGCCTTCATATGATATAGATTAGAAGTGAGTCGGATACTTACAAATTGGTTAGGCAGGAACATAGGCATGAGCATGTTCGTCGCATAGTAGGTAACGAAGAGGAAGGTGGTTTTGCTCAGCAGGGCCTTGTCCTGGTGAATATACTGATCAACCTTGGTTTTGCTCTCAAAGTGAGGCACAGAGCATTTTCCGCCGGAGATTTTTTGATTGTCCGGGAGAGTACTCCAGATGTAGTGCTCAAGGGTGGTAGTCCGGGAGGCCGCCTTTGCGCAGTTGATTCCCTGGGTAGACTCAATGGCAACCGTTTCCTCAACTCCGTGAGTGGCAAACGAGGCAAAGAAATCGGTGACAACAAAAATGGCGTGAGATCCCTGATTTCATGAGCCCAATTGCTGACATTTAACAGTTGGAAAGCTTACCTCAAACGCCTTGACAAGGCTTGCGAGATCGCTGGTGTCCGCAGCAACCATTTCAACACCTTGCGCAGTCAAAGACTTGGCTGCCGCACTGTTAACATTACGAGTAATTCCGCGGACCTTGTAGGCACCAGATTTCAAGGCAGACGTAACCACGGAGCCACCCTGGGCTCCGGTGGCACCAACAACAGTGAGGATTTTGGACATTTTGGATCAAGGTGGAAAATATGAGTGTATTGAGATCTGAGAGATAAAGAGCAGAAGCAATGCCATGGAAGATGTCGAATACGCTCCCTCTATATATATCTTGACTACTATACGTAAGATCGCCTATACATGGACGAAGTATACCACGGTACAACGATCTGCAAACACGCTAACCCAATGGGGTCGGGACTCAGGTCTACAACAACAGCAACTCGTCATGTACAACATACCCTCATCTGTCTGTGTTTTCTCCCCATAACCAAGCATTATTAATGAACTGGCCCACCGCACCCGGAGCTCGGGTTGTCGATCGATATTGCTTCCGTGTTCCACTTCACATTGTGCTTCAGTTGTGCCGTCTCATCACTCAACAAATAGTCCCCTTAGGGGGCTTTTAGATAGTAGTTGCCCTCTGAATGTTATGGCGGTCCAAAGGCAGACAGGTGGTACCATTGGCAGACTAGCAATGTGGTATTACAATCGTGGTTTGTCGCCAATTTCCATATGGTCTCGGGGGTCAAACGTTGGACACCCCCTACAATCTAACCATCGAGTGTGCGTCTTCTATAGGCGACGGATTGGACCACTACGACAAAACCAATCTTTGGCTTACCGCTCTAATCACCGCCTGTATATTTATGGCCTTGGGCCTGTATGTAATTGAGGTTAGGAGTATACGGAGAGGTCGCGTGACCTCGAATAATCTACTCCGTACTCGGCATAAAATATTAGTCTTGGCGTTCATAAAACCGCTTAGTTATCAATACTATATTCCAAGGTTCCATATTCCTCCGTCTTACCGCCCTATCTCCGATTTCACCGCCTTTTGAATTCTGCCAGTCCTACCGGTTTGAAACTCCCAAAATACTCACTTGCTTGCTCTATGCTTGCTCTATGCTTGAAGAGTAGTAAATTGCTCCAAAAACATATCTCGTATTCATTACGCTCGTGAAGAACCTTATCATCTCATTATAGAGTTCAATATCTACTTCAAGATTATGATTGCGGTTTCGATTGATAATGCCCATGATAATTAGTAGAAAGATTGGAACGATGGTTTGTAACGTGCATATACACAGATATATATACCAGATATAGAGTAGCTCCGCAATTAAACCATAACCTCGTGTGTGTGTGTCGCGTGACCAGGTGTTTTCTCCTGTGGGCTCCAAAATCATAGAAATAATGCGGTGAAATGTCATCGGCTAACTTTGGCAGAATAATGCAACCGGCAGAAAAATATTGACTAGGCCTAATGGGCACGCCCCAGAGAATGAACCATCATTATCTTCCCCAGAGCTTCTACAGTCACACTTTACGTAGCGTTAGAAGGTAGAATCGGTCGTTTTGCTCTGCAACGACTTATCGGGCGGCCGCAGGCCGTCCAGATCCCTCGTAAAGTATAAGAATGCCTTGGAAACGGATCAAAGATACCGTACGATTTCCAAACCAGACAGTGTTTACATAAGCCCAAACTAGGGGCACTAACTAACTAGCGTAAGCATTGACCATGGTACCTAGTTACGTCCCCCTGACCTTATCTCCCGAACTATGATCAACCGTCAGCTAGCCCTAGCCCGATATTCCGGCAAACTGCACTGCAAACCCCGGACAAACCCCCCTTATGGAGGCAGAATTTTGATCTCTCTGCCCAAATGACACGCGTAACCACTATTATAGGCGACGGATCGGACCACTATTAGCTAGCCACACGCTTTTCCGCAGCTGTAATAAATATAGCAATTTACATTTTCTCTAATTACTCACTTTTCTGCGGTCGCATTGAGTTCAAATTTTGAAGATATGATTGATTGAATTTTCAAAAATTTTACAAATTTCAAACTAAATAATGGAGCAAGCATAGAGCAAGTAGGGGAAAAAGCCTTGAAAAGCGGTCTTCTCAGACCGCCTTCCCATTAAATATACTGCCGACTCTCGTAAATCGGTAGAACTGGCAGATTCAAAAGCCGGTGAACTCGGGTATAGGGCGCTAAGATGGAATAACCATGGAACCTTGGAACATTGGAACATTGGAATATAGTATTGATAACTAAGCGGTTTTATGGACGCCAAGACTAATATCTTTATGAATTGATGGACGCATACTCCGTACTGGTAAACATGAATAGAGAAGAAGAGGTTGTAATATTACATAGCCTGCCCAAGACCATAATTATACAGGCGGTGATTAAAGCGGTGAGCCAAAAATTAGTTTTGTTGTTGTGGTTCGATCCATCGATCCTCGCCCTGGTGGATATGCCAAGACACGCTAAACAACTATGCCAGCTAGCCATGCCTCTCAGCTGAAATGAGTATGTATAACTATGTCTACTTACCCCTGGGCGCCTTTGATTTCTATAAATTGAGTCTTAGCTTCCATTATACTCGTGGTTGTCCTCTCAACTACATTGTGCTGAAAAATTGTATAGCACCATTCAGCAACCATGAAGTTGGCCGTCCTGACATCCCTTGTGGGATTGGGCGCTAGCCTTACAGTTGGACAAGAAACAGAAAGCTCATTTATTGCCGGTCGGCTTTCGCAAACGAAGCATTTTGAGCTGAATCTGACCTGGGAATCATGGGCGCCCGATGGGGTTGCACGGAAGCAATTTTTGATCAATGGCCAGTTCCCCGGCCCTCCACTGATCATGGATGAAGGAGACAACGTCGAGGTGACCGTGAATAATTTCAGCCCCTTCAATACCACAATTCACTATCACGGCATCGAGTGAGTCTTTGGAAACTAAAAAAATACCCGCATGTCCACTAACACGTTAATAGACAGGAAGGAACGCCGTGGTCAGATGGTGTGCCTGGAGTTTCACAGAGGCAGATTTTGCCTGGTCAACGGTTTATCTCCAAATTCACTGTCCAGCAGTATGGTGCATATTGGTTAGTCAATAATCTTCAATGAGAAATCCAGGCCTTCTAACGAAATGAAGGTACCACTCACATACTTCTGGGCAAATCATGGATGGCCTGTATGGACCAATTTACATCAGGTTTGTTTGCATGATATCGAGCGCGTCAATTCCAATGACTAATGTCTAAATTTATAGACCTCGGAGCATTCCTGCGAACTTGGCCAGTGCGATAACAAATGATACATTTGAACAGGCTCAAATACATAACGCCATCCGGGCGCCGACCCTAGTCATGCTTTCTGATTGGTTCCATATGACATCAGAAGAACTCCAAGAGGTTGCAATGTCTGCAAATATTGATCCCTTGTAAGTGATTCAATGGGAGAAGCTACAAGTAAGATGAAACTGACATGGCGATAAGGTGTACGGATTCTATTCTGATCAACGGGAAAGGGGGTGTCAATTGCCGCAGTCCCAAGGAATTAACTGACATGGTGCCCGATTCGGTGAAATCTGTGCTACAGGGCATGGAGTATACAGTGAAAGGGTATGTTCTGAACTGGAATTCAATACTTGGAGACGCCAACGCTAAATGGAAATAAAGTTGCCTTCCACTCACAAACACCTATGCCCAAACGACATCTGGACATAATTTGAGTGCAGTTCCAGCATCCATGTTTTATGAGTGCCACGCCACCGAAGCGCCAGAAGAGGTCATCGAAGTTGACCCTTTCAACGGCTGGGCAAGTCTCAATTTTATCGGCTCAGCGTCTGTCTCAACTCCAATTGGTGTGTACTTTGCCAGTCTTTATAAGCTCCCAGGCTAACTAGCAAAGTGTCTATCAATAATCATTCTCTCTGGGTTTATGAGGTTGATGGTTTATACATCAAGCCTGTTAAAGTTGATGTATGAACTTTTGCCTTTTTGGAATCAGCTTTCACGGAATACTTCTGACTCAAACATCTCTAGGCGTTAACAATCAACAATGGTGGTCGGTATTCCTGCTTGGTACAACTGAACAAAGCGCCAGGAAAGTACCCGATGACAGTGGCAAATGCAGGGTTCAACCAAAAGATCGCGGGCTTCGGTACTCTGTCCTATACGCATACGCATGGACGTTCGGTCGTATCAACGCCTTCAATCAACTACGGTGGACTTGCCACAAGCACGGATGTTATCACACTAGATGAGACCGTGATCGAAATGTTTACTCCTAGCCAGCCTAGTGAGCATTCGGATAAAACCTACATCCTGACTGCTGGCCGCATTGAGAAGGCCTGGGAATGGTCCCTCAACGGAAATCACTCCTACGGCCTGACTTTAGAGGCCGAAAAGCCCGTTTTATGGGACCCGCAATCCGCGGCCAAGAGCCCTTTGGCCATCGCCACAAAGAACAATACTTGGGTGGATATAATCTTCATTTTATCTGGCAACACATCTACACTTCAGCCTGGTCACCCACTTCACAAGCACTCCAACCGAGCTTATATTCTGGTGAGTGCTCCCAAATATTGTACCGGCTCTTGCTCCAATTCGCTGACATTTGACTTCAAGGGTACCGGCACCGGCGACTTCAATTACACTTCAGTCGCCGACGCTGTCAAGGCTATTCCAGACAGTTTCAACCTGATCAATCCCCCTATGAGAGGTTCGCAGATCTAATTCAATATGCGCCTTTGGACCTGACTGACATCATCAGATACTTTTACTACGCTGCCTGCTTATCAAGGTAAAAGCTGGATGGCAATTCGTTATCATGGTATGTGATTTCCCCGACTGGATAGAAGATCATTGGCTAACTAGCGCGGTTGTATTAGTACAAAATCCAGGGGTATGGAAATCTCAATTCTGTCGATACCAGCTCACGTCGCTAACAAATTTAGGCATTCTTGCTTCACTGTCACCTCGACCCACATCTGACGGGGGGTATGGGGTAAGTTTGCAATCTGTGTACAGCTATGGCTATATTTTGATGCAATGTGCTAATTTCTTTCCTTAGGCTCGCGATTCTAGACGGTATAGATGCATGGCCGACCATTCCGTCCCAATATGGCCCGAACGGGAAGTGGGGAATCATTGACCCTTGAAAACTTTTATACAATTTGTACAAGAGAAATTTTCTCTATTTATCTGTTTTTAATTTGTCTCTTCATTTTTCTTATTTGAATATATGGCGTGCTCTGTTTCAATGTACTTTTCCAGATGTTCGAAGTGGAAGAGGTGAGTACATACATTCTACGAGAGCATGCCTCCCAACTAGATCCTATTCAATCGGCTTTTGCTTATTCTGAAATTATTGTACTAGACCAGACACTGTACTATAATGGCATTTTATTCGAGGAGACCCTATGAGTGGTCCAGTATGTGTTGGGAAATAATTTCAGTACAATGGTTTATCATGCACCAATCAGCTTTCCTAATGGTATAATCGGGCCATTTCCTTCAAATTCCAATACTTTCTCATATTCTCCGCGCCCAAGGCCTTCACTTCATCATCCAAATGTGTCCATAAAACATCCGCAAAACTATCCATCAACATCTTCATATGACCCAACCGTAACTCTGTCTCGCCCGTGCGACATGTATTCACATAGTCCTCGAATTTCTCCAAGCCTAAGTGAATCATGCGGTGCTGCCCGACCAAGCTTAATTCCTCGCGAAACTCAGGCATTCTCGACGCTAGCTCGGGGAAAAAGTGGCGCTCCTCGATAGTGTGATGCAGCGTGAGTTGACGACAGAAGGATAAAGCGAGGTCGAGGAATGCGCGAATCGATTGCCCATGGGGGCGTTTATTCTTGACGCAAGCACCGTATATATCATTCCAAATAGCGCGGAAGTTATTATGCTAGAGGAACAGTTGTCAGTAGGCAGGCTTTGGGAACCGTTGTGGTAGGCGAATAGATGATAGGAACCTACAAATAGATCCATATGGTCTGCCAATCGATTATAGGCTTTGAATTCCGATGGAGTTAACTTGGGGGGCTGGCTTCCAGCAGCTGTTTCTTCAACTTTTGCCATGTTGATTTCAATCGAAGAGCCCGTGAACGAAATGACGCTGTTGTAAAGATGGCCCAACCCCTTGAAGCGCACTCTCTTTAAATAGCATGTATAGTCTGCGCCATTTAGTATCGAGAAGTGTGTAGATCGATAGAAAGAATTGTCAAATCATGCTGTAATTATTATGAATCTGCATCACCAAAGTCGCACTAATTGATTGACCTTACTACATTCGTTCGGAGCTCGGGTAAGTGAGGTCTGAAGGGCCGCTGACTAAGGTCTCCAGAGTCCACCTAGTTAACTAGGGGGATCGTTCTTCATGGAGGACTTGGAGGGTCCACTGATCCGCAGAATGACCTTTGTTCACTTCTGTAACACGTGTCTCCCCTCCCTGCGGACGGACGACGAGATTTCTATGATTGATTTCGACAAAATAGATGAAGACAGCTTTGATCATCATCGAGCTCCAGTGCTGGCAGATTCACTATTGTTCCACTGAGGTCTCTGGCTGCAGACCTGGATGCAGAACGAGCTATTCTGTACGAGCTCCGCGAGCAGACGAAAGTGCGGGCTTTGAACGACGGTCACTGGTTGTTGAGCCGTGGGTGCCCTTGCACAGTGGTGGCAAACCGCACTTCCAGTCCAAAGAGCTGGCAGAAGCTGTCTCTAGTCCTTAAGATCATCCCTGTTTTTGTCTTGCCTCCTTGCCCATCATGGACATATCTTCCATGGTCCAGCTAGCTCTCTTTTCTCTTTTCTCTCTTCTCAACCAACCTTCAATATCTAAGCCGGAAATCAAGATACACAGAAGAAATTCATCTGATGCTTGGGAGCTATGTATTAATACACAAGAATCCAAAATAGCCTTGTCTTGGACGGTTTTTTGCGAAATGAGTAGTGGAGATATTATTTTATTCAGCCACCTGGCCACAGAAAGAGACTCGCCGGTCTCGGTACCAGCCGCAAGAACAACCCGCCATCCATAAAATACAATGAGAGACGGTATTAAAAGCGAGTAAAGAAAACAGGAACCTCTATGCTATGTCGTTGAAATATGATGACCAAAACCGAATACTCGAGAAGACCCAATGTGAGGATGTCGTTATGGAGAAAGAGAAGGGAGGATGAGTTGAGGGCGATCAAATGTAGATAAGTCGATCGTGTTGGTGAATGGAGAGGAGGGATGGTTTAAAGCATAGCCTTGTACTCGGATGGAGGAGGGGGAGGAAGCTGTTTCAATCAGGTTAGCAAGAACATCTTGAATCTGACTCCGAACTTATCAGTTCGAGGATAGGGAGTTTATCATACCTCGAGCTTTGTGTTATCAGCCATCATACGCTGGAAACCAATACCGACACCCTCGATCACAGCAAGGAAGACGGCACACATAATAGCGGAGTTTCGGGCGGCCTTGTAACCACCACGGACAGCGAGGGAGCCACCGGTGAGGAAACCAGCGATGATAGCGTTATAAGGATCTTCCTTCTTGCGGATTCCCTTGATTGAACAATCGTATATACTGAAAAGTCCTCCCCAACAGCCGAAGTTACCACCGAGGACGGGCGCGCGCGCCTTGATAGCTGTGAGAGCACCTATCCGGCGTTCACCGTAGGGGCTGTTTCGGAAACCCTTAACACCGTGCCATACGGCACCACCGATAGCACCCATACAGAAAGCACCGCCGAAGTCGCTCAGGGCAACCCAGGGACAGGGATCGCGCGAGTGATCCATAATGTGATGTGTAAACGAAGCGAGTCGAGAGTCGGGGGTACAAAGGCGGATCGGCTGTATAGATAGTAATTGTGAAAGGCGCGATGGTAAAGGTCGAAAGTTGGTAACAAGCCCAGTGGAAGAAAGAGACTTGTGAAGGGCGTGAAGGTAGTAAAGGTCGGCAAGCCCAATAGTGAGAGATGCGATAACAAGATAAGGGCGGGTCGAGGACTTTTTCTTTCCCATGTCAGGGCACGTGACCACCATATTCTACCCGGTCGCCACCGAACACTACGACGTCGGCTGTGTTTATTCTTACTTTCGGATTATCATTCGCTCGCATCAGGCATCCCCGGGTTCTCTGCCCGGGAACGAGAATATACCGGCTATTCATCCCTGCATGATGTCTCGAGACCATCAGAAAATTTCTTCATTTCTATTTGAATACTCTATGGCTCTTTTGCCATTGTTCTAGGGCCAAGGGCCAATCGGAGATCATACATCCTACCACCTTAGAACTAGGTATTCTATGATCGAAAGAATGAGCTTCTATAGCCTCACTTCTTCATCTACCAACAAAAGAATGTTTACCTTGACCTATTCCACTCACAACCTTTCCCCGCTTCACGAGTATGAGCGGTCATTAGCAGAAGATAGTCGGCAAATCACATAGAATCTCGTTCAAATAGATATATGCGAGCTTCATTTTGTTTCAGCTCACCCCTTGGAAGATATAGTTTGACAATGATCATTTTAGGCTCACGCTCACAACTCGAGGCCTACATTCCTATAGCAAGTGAAATCGGATAGTCGGACCTAGTGATTGATACCGTCATATACTAGGCTTTGCCACAATAAACGGAGAAATAATCGGATGTATTCTAGTTCTCTACTCTTAGACTTCTTACGTCTGATTAAGATGTTAAAGTATAACCAACGAATATCATGCTTTATTTTCCGCAACTTTCAGGTGTTTCTCTAGAGTCACATCGCATACAGAGTCGGTAATTGATAAATATATAGAGGTTAATCGCAGTTGCGAAACATCAGATTATATTTAAATTTCAGTCTTTTCTAATTTTAAATAAACAAACTGAGGGAGCAAGCAACGGGAAGGCCAGATGCATGGTCAAAAGTGCCATGGTAAACCTCGCCATCACAGGAAGTATATAAGCTTATCATCGTAGTCTGAAAGCCAGCTAATGCATTCAAAAGCGTAGGATTGAAAGAATTATCGAATTTTTGGTAGGCTTGAAGTGTGACATCCATGTGAAAATACGATTGATAAGGCAAATGAAAATGCCGAGCAAGGCTCGGCCTTTTCGGACGAGGATTGAAAAATTTCGCGAATAGCCCGAGCAAATTTAGTTATAAATAAAGCTAGCTGCAAAGAGATCTGCAGTAGACATCTAGGTCCCGTTCATTGTTACTTGTGCTCAATCAACTCTCGGAATGTCTACTTCACAACTATCAAATGACCGGGCTACGCCCAATAGCTCCGAAGCGCCTGATCGCGTCGAACTTGAAAAACCAACCCCCAAATTCCCAGAGGGCGGCCTCCGAGCTTGGATGGTGGTTTTAGGTGCATTCTGCGTGTCTTTCTCAACTTTCGGATACATGAACGCTTTTGGGTAAACTCTATACGCCGCAACTCTATGGTCTGATAACGAGGGCTAACAGATGAACAACACAGAGTCTACCAGGATTACTACACCGAGCACTTTATCTCCAATGAAACTTCATCCACTATTTCTTGGATTGGGTCTGTGCAGGTCTGCTTTCTCTTCGCTGGTAGCCTTATCGGTGGGCCATTGTTCGACCGTTACGGCGCTGTGGTAAGGACTTGAAATGTCTTCCCATTAGCAACTACGATCATTTACTAATTATATTCTCCATATTAGGTCATTCATATACCCGCAGTCACCATCGTGTTTTCAGTGATGATGACATCTCTGTGCAAGAAGTATTATCAATTCATGCTTGCTCAAGGCGTCTTGGGTGGGATTGCTTCTGGCATGCTATTCGCCCCCGTCATGACATGTGTGAGCCACTATTTCCATACTCGACGTGCTGCAGCCCTTGGTGTGACAGTCTCTGGATCTTCCATTGGGGGAGTTATATTTCCCATTGCCTTGAGCAAGATGCTGAGAAACGAATCCTTGGGGTTCGGGTGGTCCGTCCGAATTGTGGGGTTCATCATCTTGTTCATGGTATTGATAGCGATGATAACTGTAAGAGAGCGACTTCCTCCTCGTCGCGGCAAAGTCCTCTTGCCGAGAGCTTTTGCTCGCGCTCCTTACACCCTCGTCACACTCGGTATCTTCTTCATGATGTGGGGACTTTTCACTCCATTTTTCTATCTTCCGCAATATGCCCAGTCTTATGGCATGGAATCACAGCTTGCGTCTTACCTTTTATCCATCCTCAATGCTGCCTCCGTTTTCGGCAGAATATTACCGGGCATGGTTGCGGATAAGATTGGTCGCTACAATATCTTGATCATCACCGGTGTCTGCTCGGGCATTCTACTTCTGTGCTGGATCGCGACAACTTCAAGTGCCTCAATCATTGTCTTTGCAGGGCTCTATGGTTTCTTTTCGGGTGGGATCGTGTCGCTGATGTCTCCTTGCATTGCCCAAGTCACGCCAAGTCCGGACCAGATTGGTACTCATCTCGGTATGTCAATGGCCATTATTGCCCTTGCTGGTCTGACCGGCACCCCGATATGCGGTGCATTGCTAGAAAGATACGGAGGATACACACAGGCCGCAATTTTCAGTGGTGTGGTGATGTTTTTCGGATCTGTGCTTGTCGCCGCGGCGAGGTTTTGTCTGCAGGCAAAGCCCCTGGCAATTGTGTGATCCCGCCTTTAGCCTACTCTAGCGGCTTGTGATTCAATCTGTATACTTAATTAGATCTGCTTTTATTACTATCACTGAGTTTACTATCACTGGGGGCGAAAACCTTGAAATTATGATATTATACTTTTCAGAACGACATATTTGAGCAAGGCTAATTATACATGGAAGAACCCAAAATCAGTACTATCATTTATGAAGCCCAAATCCTCCGGAAACTATTCAATCTTGTCAGTGGATGCATCGAGACTGAATTATCAGAAACCAAGTAAATACCATTGAGTTGAGTAGTTCACTTGCATCGTCGGGAATTATAGAGCTTGGATCTTCTGGTAAGTTAAGCCCACGTAGACTTCCATTATTACTGCAGAAAATCAATACGGGTTTGAATGTGGCTTGTCAATAGAGTACTTACACTGAACCTAGCAGGGAATGATCTGGCTGAATGACAGCTCGCCGCGTCTGTAGTATTGCGCAGATTCGGATCACTCTATTTGCTGCCTCTTTGTCGGATGTTGCGGCTGACTCTGGCCACAGCTTGGACTTGACTAATCCAACTATCATACTGAGTAAGTAATATTCGCTCAATCCGTGGAATGTCAAATTGAGCCTCTTTTCCAAAATCTGTAGTACCTGCTCAACAGTTGCCACGAGAAATGTGGAAACTTCGGGAAATATTGTCATGGTAGCCGAACCATTTAAAGCTTTCGATTGATTAGTTGCAATCGCAGAATTTAGATTAGACAAGCGGAATTGTGCTTTTTCATACCGTGAGGCCCAATATTTATGTAAATTTCATGGCAGATATTCAGTGCAGCAAGTAGTAATCCAATCCTACAAGCTTGTTCAGGTACTTTCGCATCATGTATAAGCTTTTGGTAATGATCGAGAATCTTCGAGGATGCCTCCAATCTCGCACGTCGGCAGACTGCAGATTTGAATGAGGGACGAGTTTGGATCGCGAACTGGATGTGCAGCAAGAGTGTATATTGGTACAGGTGAATGCTCAACAATCTCTTCACGTACATCGTGGTCTGCTGCTGTCGCGGATTGTTCTGGGGATTGTTCCATTCTGGAATATCGTGGAGTGCTTCTTCTAGCTCCTCTCCAAGGTGCAAGACCCGGTCAAAATCATCTTGCTCGCGACATCCATTGACTAAGGCACATATTTTCAATCTGACAGGCAAAGAGCGGTACATATGTGCCTGGAAAGACGTTTCCGTGAATGTGGCGAGGGGCATACCTTCCAGGGGATCTTGGCCCGACTCTTGTAGCTCGTCATCGTTGATATTCAGCGGTGATATTATGTTGAAATCCTCCATTCCGACGCTTGGGGGCATCCCCCGTTCAACAGAGGCCTGGATATCGAGCTCAACGATCGTCATCCACAAGCGCCGACGCATCTCTCGATAGTATGGTGATATTCTCGCTGTCGAGGGAGATTCACGATGATATCCTGCTGCCATAGCCCACCGGACCAGTGCCCCGGCGTATGTCCAGAATGAACCCTCTTGGATATAGTTTGCACGCTTCGCAATGAGCAAGAGACAATGGGTCGCCAAGGTGTCCCAGGATTGAGGAGGCTGATTAGTCGAGGAGTTGAGCCATGATTCTGCAGCCTCAATCCAATCAAGTGCATGGTCATGAACGGTTTGCTGATTCATAACGTCAATGCATATTTCGGTGTGAAAGCTTGAAGCGGCTGCTGCCACTAAGAGGAATTGCACCAAAAAAGAAGCGGGCGTGCAAAGTGGACTGGCCCAGTGACGATTGTAATCAGCTATGAAAGTCGATATATTGAGTACTCGGTGTATGATCTCAAATCTGTCGATATATGTCTGGACCAATGTGTCCGCAATCGGTTTTATGGGAATCAATTGTCTCAGAGTGCCTCTGTCTCCAGGCACAGTAGTATCATTGGACAACGGACGAAGCCGATAATCATCATTGGCCAAAGGATAAATCTCATCACGAAGGGTGTTGATTGCCGGGTTTCTGGTCTTGATTTGAACGATGTAGGATCGGAGCTCGGTAAACTGTCACTATTGAGGAGATGCTCCATATCAGTTAGATAGGGTGTGGCATACCTGTTGGTAAAAGTTTAAAGGATAGCTATACCCATAGAACTTGGTAATGGCTTCTTGTCCTTTTAAGTGGGTCATTTTCTCATTCCAGTCGGAAGAAGGCCTGGGCCTTTCCGGAGTCTCTGCCAACGAGACAGGTTTACGCAAGGACGTTGGCATGGGGCCAGCGCTCCCCGAATGGTCATCGCTCAACATTTCATTCACTGACGAAGATGTTGCTGGGTTACCACGGTAGGTGCAGTTGGCGGCATTTCCTGTCTTCGAGCAGCGACTGCAGGATGGAAGCTCCCTGCCACATTTGAGCTTCCGCTGATAGCACTGGATACAGGCCAATGGGGGACGTCGCTTTTTGGCCTCTGGCTTGACCACACGCTGTGAGCTGATTGGCCCACGGCTCATCGTTTGGTTTGAGATCGATTCTGACATTATTAGTGCTTGCCATGAGAAATCGCCGAGCGGGAGCTTTTATGCCGGGTTATGGTGACGTCGGTGATTTGGGCGCGGCAATTTCGGGCTCGGCAATTTCGACCGTTTCCACCATTGGCTCGCAGTAAATTTTGTCCAATCAGAGGCCTACAACAATGTAAATAGTGCGTATTATGAATCATTGCGGTTTATTTTGGCATATTTTGACAAATTTATTGACGCTTATTCGATGCGTAGGCCTCGGGTATACCAGAGTCTAAATAATGAAGGCGCTGGAAACTCGTATCCGGCCAAAACATATATAAGACTTCTGTCTATTCGAAAAAAGGCTCAATCATCTATTTTATCTTCGTATCAGTTGAACATCGTACAGAACATCAATAAAACCGCTAAAATGGATTCTTCTGAAGCTCACCCATTGACGGCTTCCGTTCTCTCCTCATTCGGACCCAACAGCTCGCCCAGGGCTCGGGAAATCCTGACAGGGTTAATACGGTATCTTCATGCATTCTGTCGCGATGTCAACCTCACGACAGAGGAGCTTTACATTGCCATTGAAGCGCTGAATCGATCCGGTCAGGTGAGTAACCATGAACGCAATGAGACTCTGTTGATCTCGGACTGCTTGGACGTGGAGGCGTATGTCATAGACAGCATATATCTTACACCCCTATTCATAATGTGACAATTTATCTAGGCTGGTTGATGCTCAGACACAAAACATGTTGGAGAAAGACAATAGCACCGACTCTTGCATTCTTGACCCTTTATATACGGCCAATCCCCCACGCTATGAGAATGGGGACAGTATTATCCAGAAGTACTTAGGGGGCGAAGTGACATTCTTCCACGGCCGAATTCTGGATGCTGATACCAATTTGCCCGTTGCAGGTACGTCTGATCAACTCGAATTTTCCTTTGCCATCTAGCATAATTTACTGAGTAAAACTCCAGGGGCTTCTCTGAACGTATGGGAGTGCGCGGTCAACGGGTTGTATGACCAACAAGACCCGGATCAGCCGTCGGGGAACATGCGCGACCTTTTCATATCTGATTCAAACGGCCAATACGCATTTTACTGCATCAAGCCGGTTCCCTATCCCGTTCCCTATGACGGACCCGCCGGCGATATTCTCAAACTGATGGATCGCCACCCTTACCGAGCTGGCCACATTCACTTCATGGTCACAAGCGACTCTTACAATCGCTTGATCACACAAGTATTTCCCGATGATGACACTTATCTCGACTCCGACTCGGTATATGCAGTCAAGTCGGATTTGCTCCTTCAATTCAAGCCTTATACCTCTGACTCACCGCGAGGTAGGGAGGGCAAAGAAGCGAATGTGCAATGGGAAGTCAGTTGGGATTTCAGAATCAAGAAGCAAACGGTGTGATAGGAATGAGTTATCGAATTCCTAAAGATCAGTCGTACGACCTTGGCAGTTGGGATGTACCTTGTTCGATATAGCAAAGAAAGCACATTAGCTGAACAATCTTGTTCAAATCTCTTGTATATTCAGTAACGAAAAATACATTAGAATATCGGTGCCAAGAAAAAGTTGCTTTCATCTGGGGTATAGGAGTCTCTAACCGCCAGCGCGCTATATCAAGTTTTACCTGCAGGATGGTTTGTAATGTAAGCATTTCATCCATCTGAAAATAGACTTAAAAGTCTACTAAAAAGAAGTAATAAGGCCGCATAATTGGCCTAATATATATTTAGACAGCCGTGATGAGGGAGTATCATGAAGCCTCAAGGCAATGTCACGACGGCAACCACTCGAATATTATCCTATGGCATGCACTAACTAAGCCCATAAACTGAAAATTTAGACGAAAGAATGTATTTTATTTTCCCGTTCGGTAAAATAATCAAAAAATCGCATGCTGAAAGAGGTTTTCCATGCCCCCATCTCTTCAGTGGAACAGACAGGGCTTTAAACCAAGATAAATACACTAATTTGAAGTCAAATCCAATGCTTTGCGGTCGATACCATCCAGCAACTTCCCATCTACGAACCAAACATCCATTGCCTTGGCCATCCCCTCAACGTACGCCCGAGGAGCGTCGTCTGACATAGCCTTGACAAGCAGATCTTGCGACATTTCGTTCGTAACGTCGGCCCGTCCACAGGCTACCACCTTGGCCTCATAGCGACGCACTGCCAAATTCAAGTCCTCGGGATGAGCGTGGATTTCGTGAAAAAGATCCAAGGCGTCCAGCATTGCCAAATTTGCACCTTCTCCAGCAAACCACGACATAACATGCAAAAAATCACCGATCAGTGTCAAGCCTTGTTGGTGATCGTATCGCAGCCATAGAGGCATGCGGTACTGGGTTCGTGGAGTCATGCTCGCGTCAACATTGCGGATGACATCCTGGAGGCGAGGATCCCATGTCGAAAAGAAGGAATCAATCAAAAGACTAGTCATCTTTTTCTGATCGCTCCAATCAGAAGAGGCATTGCTTGAGGCCCAGTTCTCGTCGACACGTAGACAAGGGTAGACATGAACGCTGCCGTCTCCATTTCGCTGCATAAATATCCCACTGCCTTCCGAAAGACAAAAATAGGTACCTCGGCCGATGAACTTCCGAGCTCTGGGAATCTTTCATCAAGGTTGGAGATACGGCAGTCAATAACCGTGAGGCCAGTGTACTCGGGCTTCCAGTCGGTTAGGAGTGGCCGAACCTTGGACCAAGTGCCATCTGCACCCACAAGAAGGTCAGTCACTACTCGCTTGGGTTGGTTGTCGAAAGATATTTCCACGCGGCCGTCTTCCTGTGGAGATACGGCTGAGACGCGGTGATCCCATTTGATGTTTGCTGGATCGAGGGACTCGATGAGTATTTTGCGAAGCATTGCACGGTCGATTTCCGGACGTCCATCCGCGTCAGCCGGTGCTTGATGAAACAACCACGTTTCGGCATTTTTGTCTCCGAAACGGTAGTCCTGGTCGTGATACCGGGCATACTTGTTGAACTGGTCTCGAAGGCCGGCTTCAAACAAAGCCTGTTGACCAGACTCCGGGTGAAGGTCAAGAGATCCCCCCTGAAAGCGAGAACTGGTAGACTTTTCTCGCTCGTAGATGGTAAAGGGAATCGAGTGGTGTTGCAACAGAGCTGCAAGGGTCAGGCCAGATGGGCCCGCTCCTATGATGGCAACGTGCTTGGGCATAATGCGAAAATGATAATGATGATGTTCTGGGAAAAGAAAGGCTGGGAAGTCTGTCTGTGTTGAGAAAGTGTTTATAAAATGGACATCCTCAGAACCCTTTATATAGCCTTCATTTGGACTCCTGCTCAACCGAGAAGATGGGATCATCGCAATCCAATTTTCGGCTATACGTACATGGAAACTCTTACTCCACTCCTTCGGATATACACTACGGGGTCCCTGCTGATCAGCCGACGGATGTGGAGAAAATTCGGGGTAGCACCCATTATTACGGCCTTTTCGGACTCGGCTTTCTCGGTTTATTTTCCGGCAAATTCATTATAAGCAAAAGCTCCGAAACAGGAGACGAGAACATGTTTCTCAGATTCTTGATGGTTTAAGAAGCTTCGAGACCGACATGAAAGGGAGCCATCTATCGACGGGAAGCCATCATAATGCAAAATCAAAAGGCGCACGTTGTTATTGTCCCGGCTTCCTTTACCCCATCATCGCTGTACAGGGAATTTGTGCAGTGCCTCTCGGAGCATGGACTCAATGCACCTACTGTTGACCTTCCCTCTGTTGGAAAGCGTGATCTGTTGCCCGCTGCATCAATGATGGAGGATGCTGAGCATATCAAGACGGTGACGACGAAACTAGCAGATGACGGCTACGAAATCATCCTAGTGATGCACTCCTATGGCGGAGTTTGTGGTACCGAAAGCACTGCTGGGGTTTCAAAGGCTGAAAGGCAAGCCATTGTGAAACCAGGGGGCATTATTCATCTCGTCTACATCAGCTCTCCCGTGCCTGGAATTGGTGGATCTACCATGACAATGATGGGCGAGAAATGCCTCATTTCATGAAACTCGAGGTGAGAAAAGCCATAATAAACATGAAGATTTTCAATTTCTAACATTTGACACAGGGAGATTATTTCACTTCCGAGCCTGACGGCTGCGCGAGCGTCAATTTCTCGGATCTTCCCTACGCCCAATCGATTCAATATGCGAACCATATGAAGGCGCATTCAGCGAAGAGCTTTGCTGGGACACTTCAAAACGCAGGATACCTGAGTATTCCAGTCGCGTATATTTTATGTAAATACGATATTTCTGTACCTCCTGCCTTTCAGGCATCCGTCATTGACATGATTTCGGCAAAGAGCGGCCGAGAAGTGACCACACTCGTTTGCAATTCTGGACACTTCCCCAATGTCAGCGCTCCGGCTGAGTTGGCCTCCCTTATTGATAAGGTTGCTACTCCTAGTTGATGGGGATATCCATGGTATAGAAGTTGTTTATGTGAATGTTCCTCGGCACAGAGAATTGAAATATATATGACGGAATGAAACCCTAGTTTTGTCGTACCTGTAGCATCCTTCTTCGAGTAGAATAATCAAAGTAGGATTCCTCCAAATTTATGCAATCAAGCTAAATTGAAGACAGCAAACTTCTTGGATATACTGGAACTGTTTGATACTAACCTTTTCCTAAGTTGATTGTTACTGGCAACTATCTTGAAAATGATTAACATCTTGCTAAGCACCCTGTTTCTTTCGAATAGCTGTTGCATTAGAGATCGACACAGAATGAATATTCCCGCAGAAACGCCTGTCTAGCGAGCTAATGGGCAAATGTCCGATTTGTCCGATTAGCTTGTCCGAATAAGCCGAGAATAAGCCGAGAGAGAACACCGAGATGATTCGTACGCAACACTGCATTTTCGGATTTCAATATATGTCCTCAGGGGCTGCTAATAAGATATAAATTGAATAGCCACGACACCGCATCTAATAATGGCCCCAAGCCGAATACCTACCGGGAAAACATTATGGATGTCATGAATGAGGCCGACCTCTTTGCAATGAGAAGTCTCTCGGGCAAGACTGCTATTATAACGGGAGGAGCAAATGGCATAGGTGCAGAGACTGTACGTTTGATAAACTCAAAAGGAGCGAATACTGTGATTGCCGACCTGGAACGCACTCGCTCTGATGCAGAAATATTGATTCGATCGTTACAACACCCCGAGTCTGCAATATTCGTGGGCGTCAACATCCTTTTGGAAAGAAATGAAGCTGCTCTTTACTCAATGTATACAACACTTCGGCAAAGTCGATATTGTTGTGGCCAATGCCGGGATAATGGAGAGCCAGGAACTTTTTGATATTGGTAACATTGATGAGCAGGGGGAATTGCGCGAGTCGACGGGAGGATTTCGCGTAATCGATGTCAATCTCAAAGGGACGATTAACAGTATGTACTTTTCCTATCCATTTATAGCAGGAACTGTTTTTTTGTGACTAATTCTTGCGGTCTTTTTATTTTGAAGCTTTGCGACTCTCACTATACCACATGCAAAATAACGAACTTACGTCTGCCAGTGGACTAAGAGGATCCGTGGTCTTGGTGACATCGACATCAGGATATTTCGGATCAACTGGGGTGGGGGCGTACATTGCATCTAAACATGGGATCACCGGTCTCCTTCGAACATCGCAACAGGTTGGTCGAGAGCTAGGGATTAGAATCAATGGTGTGGCTCCGTTCTTCACGCCAACCCCCACATTCAAAGCGTTAGCCGAGAAATGGAGACATTCGGGTCTCAAGTCAAACACACTAGAGAGTGTTGCAACGGCCATTGCTCTCGCCTGTACACGAGATGAGACTGGAAAATGCTATTTGGTACTGTGTCTCACACTCCTTCCTCCTAGGTGTTCCTCATATGCTGACATTGACATAGATAGCCGGAGGAATGTCCGTAGAAGTAGAAGACAGCAGAAACCTGCTTCTTCCACAGTGTCTTGGGAATGAAACTGCCGAGTTGTTACAGTCCGCCAGCAGGCTCTTCGAAAGCGACAGCTATCCGCTACCTGGAGCAAGGAATAATATAGACACACTGCAGTAAATCTGCTTCGACATTCAGAATTCCATTTTCCACTTCCGATAAGTATCCACCGTACATCGACTGCTATGGGCGGGAATGGAAGCCGGTCCCAATTTGGAAGTTGTGCTCACCAAGGAACCATCGCTCTCCTTCTGTCGGACAAGTGTCAATCACAGCGCTTAGCGTTTGTACCGACTTCGTTCGATTCCGCAGCTTGATGTGGCGAGGAGCTGGTTTCAGTAAAAATATATCTTCAATTGCTGTACAAAAAAAACATGTGTGTTAAAATGGGCAGGACTTTCCTGTGGTGTTGATCTTTAATTTCTTGTAAATCTTATATTGGTGGTATTAATGGCATCACCTATCATCGTGGTATGCGAATTGCTTCATCGTGGAATGTTGGACAGAGGCATGTGACAGCTGTATGATGCGGACACGGGATATAGTTTCTCCGCCAGAGTGAGATTCACTAAGCCTTTGGTCGCTTTGTTAAACGATTAGGTTCACGCTCAACCAAGTGGATACAACTTCACTTGTTGGGAGGAATACAGGTTTCTGGAAAAAATAAAGTGCTGATGGTGACATGATAGTGGGGGTGTTCCTAGGGCGAGGACATTTCAAGTCACATGACCCTCTCAGTAAAAGCACTGTACTTCCTTTTCATTTCCTCTCATCCAAATTGACGACAACGCAGTCTTGCGGTCGATAGGAGGGGTTCTCCGAACCGCCACTCGCCTGAGAGAGTTAACTATGTGGGCCGAGGGAGATAAAATGCTACGCTTCAGCGAAGTCTCAAGCACATGGCGTTGCCAGGTCCCATTCAAACTGACATACCTGGATCTCCGAGGATTTGTGGATTTGGGGCGGCCATCATGTGCGTTGTGGACCTTGCTTTCACCAGCCAACTTGATGGCATTGACTTTGGACGTCGGCCCGGGTTTTGATCTTGCCGAGTCCTCTGAGTTCTGCGCGACTTCAGTGGTGACCAATCTTCGACCCAAAGAATTAACTACGAACCTGGTGGTGCATGGACTGAAGGACTTCATACAGTCATTTAGTGGTTTAGAGGCTTTCAGTATCACATCGCCGGTTATGGCATGCGTGCCGGAGCCTCTCTATCTTCTCCTAGATGCCCTGGCGGAACTACATTCCGCGACGCTCAAGGTGCTCTCGATCGACCCGCAAGGAGCCCTGGCCAACCACCTCCTAGAAGATGCGTGAGTCAATTCGCGACCCGGTTCCCCAAGATTGAAGAATTACGATTTGGAATGGTCGAAGCCGTGCCAGTAAACATAGGCCCGTGATCCCCCGTATGGAGACTTTGCTGATGATGACGCTCCAGGAGAATACTATCCAAACAGTCCTCGAGTCTCCCCTAATCCGGCTACTCTATATCAACTTGTTTAGAACTTCTACAGAGGGGAGTTATATCGGCCTCGAGGGATACCTGCTCCATTTACTGCGGGAAGGAATGGCCAAAAACCTCAAGTATTTCATGTTTGATGATGGTCCCCTGTTCAAGGTGCTTCGGCAACCGCTCCGAGTGATTAAGGGGAGCTTGCCAATCGGGTTCATCAATGATACTTTCCTGTTTCAAGAAAGGGTCTTTGGGTGGGCTGGAGGCCCAAAGTAGACACTCAAAATCGGTGCCAGAGGGAATACGGGTGACAACAAAACGTATTTCTCATATAGACATGTTCTATTTTAGCATATACCAGATTCTTGAAGTTGCATATGACATGTTACAGCCAATTAATCTGAAGAGGCACACGGTGGAGAAAGCCTATATTCAATCCACAACAGTGGGGACAGTGTCAAACTTTAATATACAAATTATCAGGCATCTTGTACGAACAGTGATCCAGACGTGTAGAACCGTATCCTAGAGAATCGGCCGGATTGGGCAGGAATCAAGTAAGAAGACGCAGCGTGCTGTATGCTGCCAATCAAGGGACATCTATAATTGGTTAGTTACTCATCCTCTCGCTCGTAATCTAAACTTTTGAGAATCTAGGCCTTTGGGCGTTGGATGGGTTGGCGCATATGGCCCTTTTCGGCCATAAATAGGTTATCTGGGGGCGAAGGTACCGTGATTTTATAGGTCAAGACTTGACGATTCTTGTTTCTTTTCACGTTTTCAAGTTTTCTCGTGGATTGGACCCGTACCTGGTGATGCGCCCCACAGATATATAAATTAAGTATCTTTTGCATGACTTACTCATACAAAGGATACTTAGGCACCATATTTTCTCAACCCTCGAAGTAGCTAAAGTAAGAATAAGAAGTATAGGACGGAGTAGGAACATAACATGAGTCTAGCTTCATTATTGTTAATAAATCCTTTTCCCTTTATTATGCTTAAAATTCCTGACTGAAGCTTGGTCCCTGAGCATCTCAAGCGTTGCAAAAAATCAATATGGTACCTAAGTATTCTTTGTATTGGCAAGTCATACAAAAGATACCTAATTTCTATCTGCGGTTTGGTGGAGCACCTGACCGGGACCAGCCTTTGATGACGTGAGGTACGAAAGACCTCGGGAAAGAGGGGCCTGCCATTTTTTCTATCGTCTTTCTTTTCTTCTCAACGGTGTTAGCACAGCAAGCTCCTCCCGAATTTCATGTCTGAATGAAACCGGAATCCCCCGAAACAAGCCTTGAATTATTATATGAAAATGTTAAACAAAGTTCATATTCCACGTCTAAGACGCGAAAGGCGCGCGAGCGAGGGACGAGGACGAACTGCGCGGGCCTGCGACACATGCCGCCAGCGCAAAATGAAATGTGATGGCAAAAAGCCTATATGCGCCCAGTGCCATGCTCAGGGTCTAACGACATGCGATTATTCTGAGGCGAAGCTCGTTAGAGAGCGGAAGCAGCTAGAGTTGGCTCAACTGAAAATTGGAGCCTACGAGGACTTGCTTCGGAATATCGCTCAAAGAGCGGACACCTCTATTGCGAAACAAATTACAAGCACCCTTAAAGTACGTTTTTGTCGCGTGTCATTGCGTGGTCACCCACTAATTAGATCCGGTGAATGAGTATAGGCCTATACAACAGTCAGCGAACACCGGAATAGTTCTTCAAATGTTTCATTTTCGTCTATCGATTCTCTGGACAATATTGATACGGTGGGTGAAGACCTCAATCGCAGCAAAGAAAGTAGGGCTACAGGATACATGGGGAAGGATTCTGAAATTGCGTGGATGCAACGGCTGCAGTCGAATACTACAAGCCAGAACGACAACCCGGGTTCTTTAGAAAAACCTTTGAAAGAATGGCCTCTCGTTAATGACTCCATCGTCCCAATGAACTATCGTCTTGACCATCATCATTTGTCCGACCCCGAAGTGAGGAATGCTTTCGTCCTACCACCGAAAGCGCTGGCAGATCATCTACTCCATATTTATCGCACTAACGTCGACATTTCTTTTCCAATCATCCGATGGGGATTATTCATGGATCAGTATCGCCGCCTATTCTCAGGGAGCTTGATAAATCCCGGGAGGAGGTGGTTGGCTGTCTTTAACATGGTCCTTGCTATTGGCAGGAACTTTTGCCGAGTCTCCAAACAAGATCTGCAGGTTTACGCTGATGACGACGTGTTCTTTGCTCGAGCGAAATCCCTGAACATTTCGGAGACTGTTCTCTTTGGCTACGAAGATCTGCAACAAGTGCAGGTCGAGACGCTTATGACGTTATACTTCCTAACTGTTTCTCGGGTTAACAGGTATGACCCCCAAAATTGTGTTAGAAGGGGATTCCTTCCTGTGTGTTGTATTGTGTTATGCATTTCTAACGAACTCACATATCTTGGAAAATGGTAGGAATCGCCGCGCGCTCAGGCATCGCATTAGGACTCAATATTCGAAGAACGAACAACACATTTGATGCGGAAGCAACCGAAGCGCGGAAGCGGCTATGGTGGTCGATCTTTTACCTGGAACATCTACTCTCTGCCATGACTGGCCGAGCCTCTTGCCTTGGAGATGGTTCCTGCTCTGCACCTCCACCGCTACCCTTTGAACACTCGGAATATGAGTTTTCTGATGTCGGTCAGTGGGGTGATGGCCGATTAGCCCATGCCGGCGATATGCAATGGACGATCTTCCAGAGCGACGAACAGATCGAAGCCCAACATACGTCCTTAAAGTCTATGCAGCCCAGCGCGTCTCTCTACTTCTTCTATCTGGTAGACCTCGCTTTGATCACGCACGCCATTACCAATCGCGAGCACAGTACGAGCATCTTTCGAGATGGTTGGATTCAGATCGAAAGCCGCATTGGGATTTACACTCAAAAGCTAGATCAATGGGTATCTGGCTTACACGCTTCCTTGGCTTTTGAAGACAAGCATGGTAATCAACACCCCAGGAGCAGATCATATTATCAGGTCTCGTTAGCATTGCACTATTACAGCGCTCGTGCTGTCCTCAATCGGCATTGTCTTACACGCCCAGAAACCGCTGGAAAGAGCGGCATCAATCTTCCACGATCCCGGTTTTACAACAAATCCTCTTCGGCCTTCCTCCGTGCATCTTTGGCGCTCATAGCTGTTCTACCAGATCAACCAGATACGGTTTGGGCCTACAATGTCGCCCCATGGTGGGGTTTCCTGCATTTTCTAATGCAAGCCACTATAGCCTCCCTTATACATTTGTCAGTTCTCTCAGTGCCAGCGAGTGTCGAGACTGAGGAAGGCGCTCCCGGGTCTGTGGAAACGCCTGAAGTTGTTCTTGCTGCGACGAAAAAAGCGCTCCACTGGCTGTATTGCCTTGGGAAATCTGATGAGGCCGCTCGTCGAGCTTTTCTACTTTGCAACAGTTGCATTCGCCGTATAGCCCCTAGCAAAGGCCTGGATTTGAGTGGTATACCCTCCACGATTGATTTATCCGAGACGTCCAGCGTTGCCCACTCTACGGAGTCGGATATACCAAGAGAGACAAGCAACTCGACATTGCAACAAGATCAGGGTAGCGAATCAATGGCCTCCCAGGGAGTTCTTGACAATGAAGGAAGTGAAGATACACTGTTTCAAGAGTCCGAAGAGGCACGAAAATCTCGAGACAGCGTACGGAGCCTTTCCGCCGTGCTTGACACTGATATCGCCATGTCAGAGTGGATTTCGGACCCGACCGACGCAAATTTTGAAGAGTTATTATTAGTGATGATCGGGCCCAACGTATAGTTGCTCTCTCACATGGCATGTGGGCTATAATGAGTAACTCGTTCAACTGGGTAAATTATTCGCACAATACAGATCACATGATACCCATATTAGTTAACTAATCTAATTTATTACATAATCAGTGTCGGGCACCGCAAAATAGGTACGCATATGACGTCATATACGTGGAAGCACATGTTAAATTCAACAAAAGGACCAAATTTGTTGGGCCATATCTGATTTCAACCTTTATACCATAGATGTCGTTCTCTACATCGCTCTGCTTTTCTCTAATGTCACCTCATATTATGTAGGCACGTCATCAACAACATGATTGGAACATCTACTGCCGAGTACTTGTTCATTCGGCTTTGCATCCTATTTCTTCACAACATCGCACCAATCAGTATTTTATACAGCGTTCAATTACTCGTCGCTCAATTCTTTCATCTACCAACTTATTTCGAACGCATACCCTTGGCTATCCAAATTTGGCTCATTGCAGAAGCCGTCTTTTTCACATTTGTCTACATACCACTTACATACGCCCTTCGCAATTCTCCTATCTACCACAAACCTTTGTCCACGGAGCTCAGAGAGAATTTGTTTCGGAGCTGCAATAAAAATGTGCCCAATGTGGAGAAATACCTCAGCCAGTGGCTTATGGTCTCAGAAGCTGAATGCATAAAGCGCGATAATGTGAAAGACTTTATCAGATGGTCATTATTCGGACCTGACCATATCCTCGAGCAAGATCAGCAGCATGAAGAGGAAATCGAGACCTACACAGTAGAAATTGAGAAGCTGATTGGACGAAAATTGTCACCGGGCAGGATGGATGTGAAAGGCCTAGGACGGCTTTTGAATGAAGCAGGCGGTTCACATCGAAGTCTGCTATGGTACAGTGTTAGTTCTCTCTTCCTCCTCTCTATGTGTGATATAGCCCTTTTGAACTGACATTCCAATTAACTTAGTGCGTCTCTGTGGTTGATACCATAACGTACTGCAGGATGTCATACAATGGCTTCCACTTCTATCGCAATTCGCTCTCGCGATTCTTTACCGTCTTTCCATTTCGCCCTGTCACAATATTCACGTCTTATCGATCACCGGTGCGGCATCTCACATACTGGCATCGACGACATACATCCAAGACACAGCTACCCGTACTATTCATACATGGTATCGGGATTGGCATGTACCCTTACGCAGGCTTCCTCCGAGAGTTAAACGAGCAACTACAGGCAGACGCCACCGACGATGGTGAGATCGGCATCATCGCACTTGAAATCATGGCAGTAAGCTCTCGGATAACCAATCCTGCTCTCGAAAAGGAGGTGATGATTTCTGAGATCATGGAGATCATGCGGTATCACGGATGGGACAAGATCGTGCTTGTGTCTCATTCTTATGGTTCCGTAATCGCCACACACCTTCTCAAGTCTGATCGGTTCGCTCCGCTCATCGGGCCTGCGGTCTTCATTGATCCTGTGTCATTCCTTCTCCATCTGCCTGACGTGGCATACAACTTCATAGCCCGCCAGCCAGCACGGGCCAATGAATACCAGCTATGGTATTTCGGAAGTCAAGACATTGGAGTTGCGCATACGTTGGCAAGGAGATTCTCTTGGATTGACAATATCATTTGGAAGGAGGAGCTCGGGGTGAAGGCGGAAAAAGACCAGAAGGGTAGAAATGTTACCGTTGTTTTGAGTGGTAAGGATTTGATTGTGGACACCGAAACCGTGGGGCAGTACTTGATGGGTTCATCAGAGGTCTGGACCGTTGACAAGGAAGCAGCACAAGCATGGAAAATCAGGCCCTGGATTGGGTGCGGACTTGAGATGCTGTGGTTTGAAGAGTTGGATCATGCTCAGGTTTTTGATTCTGAGACTACCAGGCGGCCGGTCATCAATGCGATCTCTGTATATTCAAAGACAGGCTGATACTGTTCTGTTCGTGTTTCACCTGAGTCTATGATTACGACATTTTTCACGAAGTTTCTTATGATGCACCGGTTTGAGATGCGGATATTACCAATATTACCTCTTAGTTCAAGAAGAATAGATCAAGTATACTTGTTCCTGTCGTATATTAAGGGATCTAACTACAACCTATGTAGTGGAAATCGAAAAGGCTGAGGATTCCATCATGTATATAGGTGATCATGATTTTGCTATGCGGAGTTGAGATGTCGAGTCGAATGCACATGATCATTGAATAAGAACGCAAACACCTGAATACTCCAGATCCCTTTTTCTAACTCAAGATCACCCCAACTCAACCTTCCCCTCCGTCCCAGCACCCCAAGCCAAAAACCCACTGGCATTAAACGCTCTCCTGCTCTCCACAACACTTTTCAAGTACTCAAAATCCCAACACCGTCTCGCAAACCCGCCCCCCAAAAACCCATGCTCCTTATCCACTGCCGGCTCAAGCGTACTATCCGCTGAACAGGTAATCGCCTGGGCAAGGTAATCAAAGCAGTGCGCTACATGGACGGAGCGGTTCCGGCCGAAGTCGAAGCGTTGTAGCTCGGGTGTGGTGGTGTAATAGGCTCGCCGGAGGAGGTAGAGGCAGTGGAGTTGGTGGAAGGCGGAAGGAATTACCACAGAAGAGGACTTTGACTTCGAGGTATCTGCGGTTGAGGGGATGAAGTAGCCCAGGCCGTCTGCGGATTCTGTTATTACTATATCTTATAGGAGGTGATGAGATGAGGAGGTGGTTGAAAGGGAAATAAGGACCTACTGGGTATTAAAGTATCCCATGTCGGCTCCGAGACGTTCCCTTCACGCGGCGGTTCCTTTGAGAAGGGGGATTGATACATGAATTTGCCTGCCATTTGGCGGAGGGGCAGGTGAGGTGCTATAGATATGTTTTCTGGAGTCCCGGATTCATAGCTGTGCGTTGTTGTTGTCTTGAAGATGTATATGGTGAGTAATACTCCGGTTGTGAATGCCGTGATAAAAGAGAAGACGAAGAATATGATGTGTGCGACTGTAAGTTGTCTGTTTAGTGGTTTTCTGAGATGAGGTTGAGGCTCCTCTTCTCCGTCTAAGTCTTCCTTCGCGTTTGAGAGGGGCTTATACTTTTGTGCTTTTGCAGTCAACATGGTTGTACGATAAACTAAGAGCATGTAAAAAAAATGTGAATTCACAGCTTGAGGACGCTAAAGTCGAAGGAAACATTAGTACCTGAACGAACCCCTGTGCGCTTATGACGCATACAGCAATGCATGGTCCCCTTTAGTAATAAAATCAAAAAGCCGCATCATCATGGTATTGAAAGTTAAGTTACTTAAGCCAGAAATTTATACGTACAATCAAAAAGTCGTGAATGTATTCTAAACTGCCCAGAGAGACTACGTACAGCATATCACCAAAAGGCATGAAGCTAAAAGTAAAACGCCATGTAGGCTACCGTTGTTGATATACAACACAAGTTCTATCTATCCCATTCTCTATGCTTTTTCGGGATCACCGACTCGTTTGTGAATCAGTTACGTTATTCGATGGTGGCCTGCATATCTAGCCTAGTTTGAAATAGGATGGTACAAGAGTAATGCTCTAAGATATCGCGCGTGTTACTTGACCCAATATCAAATACAGTGTTGATCTACGTATCTCTTAGCATTCTAGTACTTTTGATCACATTTGCAATGATATAAGAGCTGAGGGGGTGTAAGCATACTTTACATACCTTTTAAGGGTATGACTACTATTTTGCTGCTGACCTGTAGGTAAGAGAGGGGTTGGATGCACGTATCCTGCAATGTCAGCTCGAGCGAGGACGCATGCCAATGCATATGCACCTGTTAGTCTATTTGGAGGTGGCTTGCCGGTAATACCAGTACCAATAACCAACATTAATCAATTACCAGCATATAGAATATTGTATGCGTTTGTAAGAGATACTATATTTATTACCTGTGGCTTATGTATGAAAGTTGGGTTCTCGCCCGAGTTGGCATGGCAGGGTAGACGCCCTAGACTGGACGATCAGCATTCATCCTGGTTGGACTTGGAAGTATGTGGTACTATTCATGCATGGTAAACAAATTGTTATATTAATAGTATCCCTTTCCTCTTGTTGTTGAATAAGCATCTCACAGCGCCAATTCCAACTTCCATCAACATCATCTTTGACATCTCTATCCTCCACTTTACAACAACAAAAGAGACCTCAGCCACTCATAATGCATGTATACCTCCTCATCATTGCCTTCCTAGGCGCCATGGCATTGGGTGCATTCACACCCACTGAGAGTAAGTATCCCAAGCAAAGACACCCTACTATGGACTAGGCTGACACATGCTATCAAGCCGCTGCGGTTGTCAGACCCGTCAAGGTTGCCAAAGAGGACAATAGAGATAGCAAGGCAGATAGCAACGGGAAGGATGTGTTTTTCGCAGATGGGTTCTAGAGGGGTTTTCTCTGGAAAAGCCAGAAGTTGTATCTTCAAACTATACTTGGGATTCGCAAGATGTCGTTCTCGATCGTTAGTTTATTATGGGGCCAATCCTAGTCCTAGTTCTACATACAAGAGATCTTCTCTCTTCTCTCCGACACAACCGTACTCCTTCTATACCTCCCCAGCCAGCCCTGTCGCAATCGACTCTTCAGGTAACCCGACCAAGATCTCCTCCTCGGGTACATAACCCTCATCAACCACGTATCCACTCCCCTCCGGACAATGCATAAACCTCTTCAACCCAGTCTCATCCTCCGGCCTCTCAGGCCGCTTATAACAAGACGTATGAGCTTTCGCCCAACTTTCCAACTCCCCCCAGTTCCTACAAACCCGATTCTGCCCGACCCCACTAACAACCTCGACCCTTCTCTCCGTAGCCCTAGGTGTATCATCCGCATCACATATAATCTGTCGCCTCAGCGCATCAAGACAATGCGCGATATGGTGCCAGGTTCTCGACTGTGCCTGGCCTTCCCGGAACTCGAAAAGGCTGATATAGATGATCTTGAGACAGTGCAGGTTGTGGAAACCATGAAGGATGTAGATTCCTTTGGTGGTATCCCAGGGAAAGCGTTGCGCTGTGCGGAGGTTGTGGGATGCAGCGAATGAATCCGGGAGGGCAACAACGCCGCTGTCAATGTTTATGGAGTGCCATAGGGTATCCGCTAGGGTTGTGTTTGGGGAGGAGTAATCGGTCAGGAGGACGTAGGGCTCTGTGTGAGTGTGGTGGAGGTTGGCGTATTTTGAATGGGTTCTATAGGGTTCGGGGTTTGCCGCGATGATGGAGATGATGATTATATTGGTGATGAGAGATAGAAGCAGTATAGGAATTAGAAAGAGGAATCGATGCCTGTAGGGGTTCGAGTCTCCAGTGCCATCCGCGGGGATGTTTGGATCCTGGCTCGTCTTGTCAATATTGTTGAGAAGACCGGCGAATTCTTCCCTATTCTCAGATGGTGTCGTCCTCATGGTAGGCAAACAGACTCTTTCATAATTTTTTACTTGAGTTGAAGGGTCATAAGACTAGAGTCGGATTGACATGATTTCTCACACCGAAATTCTGTAGTCCAACCAAGTCAAACGATGTACACCCCTGCATTCATCACGCCCGCCTGCAGCGGTTACTCGAAAATCTTGCCTTAACATATTCCAAATCAAACCACCTGGATTTTCGCCCCTCTAGGAGTCAGACACTTAGCTGCAAGTCACCTAGTCGAGTAAGAATAGCGAGCTACTACTGGTCATGCATGCATCCCTGGTATTCGTACGACCTGCGGCTATCCCTTAGCTGGTCAGTGATCGTTTTAATTATCAACTCGGTTGCCTTCACTTACCAGACTTATTCATCGTTAATATTGAGATGTATTCCTATATTAGCGTCTACTATACTATACAACAATTCCAGCCCAAGCGCATTTTGATGCAAGACGTTTAGCGATGGCATACCACCGCGCCCTCCTCCACGTCAACGACCGCCCAGGGTTAATAGTTATGACATCGATATTTTTCCTGACAGGGATATTCGCGGTATTACTTCGCTTCTACTCCAGACGACTCTCAAAAGTCCCACTAGGACTTGATGACTGGTTTGCTTTGTCTTCTCTTGTGGGTCCCATCTTCCAACCCCAAAAATTTACAGCGACGGTATACTGATGTAGAGATGAGTAGTTATTCGTCCTCGCCTTAAACGGAATATTCCTTTCAGGCGTAATCCAAGGTGCAATAACCGGTCACTCCATAGTTCTCAATAACTGGCCCCAGCCCAGCGCGCTCGAAGTCCTAGTCCAGAAATACAAATATGCTTTCCAGACAACAGAGAAGATCGCCTTTGGGCTGATAAAAACCTCCATTTTACTCCTATGGAAGCGGATGCTAAGTCCCATTCGCTCTTTCCAGCTGTTGTGCTGGGTGATGATTGGGATTGTGGCTGCTTGGAGTATATCTTTCTTCTTTGCGACCTTGTTTCAATGCGGAACGCACTGGGACTGGAATTGGGCGCCGATCGGGTTTTTCCTGACGGAGTGTACAGATACGTTGAATATGCTGACTGTGTTTTGTGGGACGGATGTCCTGACGGATTTTGTGATCATGTTGATGCCTGTGCCGATCATTTGGAAGTTGAAGATGTCGGTTAAGAAGAAGATTGGGGTCACGAGTGTGTTCATGGTTGGTATATTGTATGTTCATCTCATCCAGTGGAGAGTCAGCGTGGGATCCAGATGCTAACTTTGAATTCTCACAGCACGATCGGCGCAGGAGTTGCGAGAACATATATCTATCTCGTGACGTCCTATGATAAAGAGGATAACCTTGATTTCATTGCCGACTTCACGCTGTTTATCCTGTGGTCGGAAATCGAGGTCAATGTGGCTATGATTGTCTGCTGCATGCCAGTCTTTGGACCTGTTCTTGGTAAATGTCGCGACACTCTGTACCGTCGTTTTGATCGGTCAAAGGATGGCGAGCTCGGTCTCCTTGGACATTCGACATCGGAATCGACAAATGATGGCAAGACACATGTCGCCAGTTTCAGAGCTTCGAACAGATCCTATCCACATTATGAGCAGGGTTGCTGCGAAGCAAAACTCGATGTTCATGGTGGATAATGCTAGAACATAAAGTTATGCGAGCGTTATACTAGCTAAAGCCAGGAGGATTCAATATTTAGAATCGGACCGAAGCACGAAAAAGGGAGATCTACATCCGGAATAAGACTGTATCTCCTATTACTACATAGTCCATGGGTCTTTCTGGATTTTAGTTTAATGATTATTATGCATGTTTTTGTTGATTTCCTGATTAAGGAGTAAGACCGGTTGGAATAGAAGAAGCAGGCAACCAACTATGCAGCTTCAAACCGTTCCGGCTGATCGGCAGAATATCACAGTAGCTATCCGACAACAAACCGCTTCAGGTATATGCTCCGCAGGAAAGAAAGGAATGTATAATCGACTTATGTTTGGTGCAGCTCCGTAGCAAATAAAGCAAACGCAGTGGCAATAAAAAGAAGTAAACATCATCCTTACCAGATAGCCCCCAGCGGCACCTCACCGACTCTTTAAATTTCCTCCTCACATTCTTCCTCATCCATCATCAGGCTTTTAAGGGGCTCAGACCTCACACCATCGAAAAAAATCATTTCAGCCGTTATGGCTAACCGCTTGTTCGCATCCGTTGTAGCCGTTATTCTGGCAATCAGCGCAATCTACTACCAGGAACTTTTGGATACAATTTATCCCAGTCACAAAATAAAAGTGGTGGACACCACGCGAGACATCACTTACCTTGGCAGTCTATCTCCTGTTGGAATTGAACATTTCCAAAACATTTTCTATGCAGAAGAACCCACAGGGCTGCGACGTTTCGCAGCGCCGGTTCCAACGAGACCAGTGAAGGGGTCTATCATCGACGCCACCCAGGCTGGTGCCTGGTGTCCACAAGGAACGGGGGACATACTCCCGTTCACGAGTAGTGTGGCCAACATTAGCGAAAATTGTCTGAGCTTGAGAATTGCGAGACCGGCAGGAACGCAGAAAGATGCTAAGCTTCCAGTTGCGGTTTGGATTCATGGAGGTGAGTTTACTGTTTGTAAAGACATGAGCGCTGAAGACACTAATGAGTAGACAGGTGGCCATGCTTTAGGCTCAGCTTCCGATATCCTTTACGAGCCTGATGGCTTGGTAAAGCTGGCTGCTGCTGATGGGCTCCCGCTGGTATATGTTGGCATAAATTATCGCCTGGGCTGTAAGTTATATATCAAGAGTCTTTGAAACTCTGCGCCGAGGCTTACTTCCGGTTTAGTATTTGGCTTCGCAACTAGTGGAGCATTGATTGAGAGGAAAGACACAAATGCAGGGCTTCGGGATCAGCGTACTGCTTTGGAGTGTATGTATCTCGGTGCTCTTTGATCGCAAAATGATCACGAATGCTGAAATACCGAACAATCAGGGGTCCGCAATAACATTGAGTCATTCGGCGGTGACCCTAACAGAGGTACACTCACTTCTGTTTCCCGGGTCCAAGCACCAATATGCTAATAGATTTTCTTCTAGTGACCGTCATTGGACAAAGCGTCGGGGCTAGTGACATCGGTCTGCAGCTAACGGCCTTTGGAGGTAATCAAGATGTTCCATTTCAGCAAGCAGTGTAAGTGAGTCGAGACTTGAAACTGTTCAATGCTGATTCGCGGCCTTAGAATGATGTCTGGGGGTCCAGGACTAAACTTCAACAGCCAACCAGACCTGGTTGCAAGCAACACGGCTGCTGTTGCACAGCAAGTAGGATGTGACAGTGACAACGATTTGCAAACACTGGAATGTCTTCGAGGTGTTCCCTTTGAACAACTAACCAACCTATCGGTTACTGCATCTCGGGCAGCCCGTCCGCCTTTCGGCGAAGCATATTTTTACCCAACGATCGACGGTGACTTCATTCAAGATAGACCCTCGCAGTTGATACGCGCAGGAAAGTTCACCAAGGGAATACCCTTGATAGCTTCCTGGGTCACAAATGATGGCGCTTGGTATGCGCCGCCGACTACTGCGACGGACGACGAAGTTCTAGGGAGTTTTGGACTATGGCTGCACAAACTTTCAGAATCCACGAAAGAGAAACTCCTACACCTGTATCCTCTGGTGGACTTCAAGCACATGATCAAGTCAGGGCATGAAGGCCGAATTTCACCGCAGTACTATCGTGCTGCACAGCTAAACCGCGACATCTGGTTCACTTGCCCTGTCCTTGACTTTACGTGGCAGTACGTCAAAAATGGGGGTGTGGGAGCCTCCCAAGTGCGGCTGTTCGAATTCAACGAAACCAGATACACGCCAGTCTTTGATTCCATGGGTGTGTCAATGTGGGGTGTAGCTCATCTCAGCGATATCCCTTACCTATTCTACAATGACCACCTACGGGCCGGTGCAGATAACTCGGACCCACAGCTTGCGTTGGCTCGGGATTTTAGTCGGAAGATTATTCGGTTCGTGCATGGCAGTCCTAAAGAGGCGGAAGATCAACTTCATTCATGGCCGCCTGCCTTCTCGGATGACTTTCCCAAGGGTTCAATAAGCGATATGCCTAGTCATATCTCAGTGCAGCTATTTGGTGGCCCTCATGGATCAGTGCCTGCTACATGTAGCGACGGCATTGGAGCTGATATCGAGGCCCTGACTGACGCAGAGAAAGCGCTTCATTGGGAAAAGTTGTTCAGTCGCTGTGCATTTCTCAATGGGCAGAAATTTAGACAGGAAGCTGGGGTGTGATGAAAAGAACCCGTTTGAAGTGCAGGCTGCCAACCTCCAACCTACTCGCGCAGCGCCCGCTACTTAGGGAGATATCGAACATTTTATGAGTCAGTTCAGCTTGAATCTATCAAAATCACGTCGCATTCCTCCCATGTTGCTTGATGAATACACGATTAAATACCTTGCCATGGTCGGCCATAAAGAAGCCACCAAGGGTACCGTCCCGTATATACCTACTAAAGGTCCACAACCCCGAAAATTGTAAGGTCTTTCTCGCTTTTTATCAGCTCTTCTATGCCAGCGGGGGGGGTAGGCTCAGAATAAATAGTCGTTGGCGTGGGCAAACTTCCGATTCGGTCAAAACTGATCTCGGAATCACCGCTAACCTGCCAGATTCGTACAGGAGATGGACCACGACGCGGATTCTGCATATCTTCGAAATCTTGCATTAAAGATATTACACCGTCCGAGTTAATCACTGTTTCCCAGGGGTGAGGGCATTCAGAAAATCTACTTGTTCAAGATCAACAGCCATCACTCTGCATCGTTGGCTGCCCTAATCACAGAGTAGAAAATTGTCCAATCTCTAATCTCGATACAAAGCACCATGTTCTGAAAACTGACGAAAGACATCCTCGAGATAGGTCTTCAAAGCTTCTGCAGGAAAGTCGTGTTTACTGCGGGCCAGTTCATAAAGAGTAATACCATTAATCTCGGATAATATAAGTGCTGGAAGTCCATTATAATAACCTTGCCCGAACAAGAAGGGAATCACTTTTCCTTGGAGCTCTTTCAATTTATCGTAGACTGCTTTCTCATTCCAAAATTATTCCTCCCAATTATTCTTTTGCTGCTTGACAATGAGTGATGTGACGGTCTAGGGAATTGAGTGTCGATATGAGCCCGGGTCAAGTGTGAAGCGATAAACTGTACGGCGTTCATCTAAAAGCTGTACATTGGTTGCATAAATTGGATGATTATTCAAGTAGATTATCTGAGGCGATGAGCTTAATCAAGACTTCTCTTAAAGTATGTTTACCTACCTTGGAGAGAAAGGGAGGCATGGTGTGGACGAGATGTTCACGGAGAAAATTGGGGATTACGCGCCTCAAGTCAGACACGTATCAACCCTCTCCACATCATGTGGTCAACAGATGCAAGGGAGGAAGTAGTTAATGGCAAGGGCATTCAGGTGAATGAGCTGATGGGCTGAGGGAGTGGAGTCTCTAAACAAATAAAAAAAAGAAAAGACAAAAACAAAAACATACAACAGCCTAGCGCCCACGGTTCGAGCATATATAGGCCAAAGAGGTAAGAGATTTAAAATCCATGACACCTTTCTTCCATTCAATAGATCCTACTTTCTTCAAATTGTCAAGCCTCTTACAAAATAATTCTGTCTCCTGAACTCTTCCCCATCCCAACCCCTCGTGTCCCGCCTGGAGGAGCTCCAGATCTTCAGGGACCTGGAGCTCGGTCCAGATAATAACGCTTCATTGCTTTGGTCGTCCATCGGTGAGTTATTTATGATCCAACGCTATGACCGTTTAGGGCCAGAGGTCACCTGACCCAATGAAACATAAGCCATCCCACGTCCCACGGCTACCTAGGTATAGTCTATGATTCTCAGCTATTCTATTTCCCTCTCTAGTGCTATATCAAGCATATACGACCATAGGGTATGTAAAACAGGGCTTCCCGTCCGCTCAGCCGTACTCAAGCCACACAGATCTACTCAATCAATCATCCGATATGCCTTTCCCCTTGAAGCAGCGATAAAACATTGCTAGCTTGGGTGTGAAGAATTGGGGTAATAGTGGCGGGCTCGAGCGGGAACTTCACACCCTAGGTGAGCATCCTGGGTGTGAGTCCCGTTCACCCTGCATGAACTTACCCATATCTGTCCCCCCCAACACATCGAGATAGATTATTTTTTGAACCGAAGTCTCCCACGCAATTTTGTATGTTAAAAGATATCTTATATTCCGCAAAGGTCTATCACACTCTTCTATCCACCTGATACAATGACAATGCAAGGAAAAGATCTCAGCGAGGTTCTTGAGGCGCGAGCCAAACTTGCCGCATCACGAGGGTTTACGGTCGAGTACCAAAGGGAGTAGGAACAATCAGAGAATTGTATTACGCTGCCCGACCGAGCGTCGCCTACTCATGATAAATACGCGCGAGCTGCGTATAACTGGGTTTTGTGGGTTATTAAATTCAATCTGAGCTGAATTACTTGCTGATACATGTTGGAAGGTGGAAACTTTCTCGAGGAAAACCAGGCGATCTTGGTAGTATAAAATATGAGCCAGTACCGTCTCCTCAAATGTTAAAGTCATTTGTGGAATACTTGATTACTACACGGAAGAAGTTGCCGTGCCAAAACTCAGCGTGTGGCCACTTTACCAACTTCACTTCATATTGGGAACGTATCACAGGTCGGAAGATCGATAGTTAAAGATGATGTTCTTAATGTATGTCTGTCGACCAGCGCTCGAGCAGAACTAACAATTTTTAAAAAGCATATCCGAGTGAATTTGACAAAGAAATACAAACTCCCCACAAAGCCACGCGAGCCTTTTTTGGCTACAGCAAAAGACATTGATTACCTCTTACGCCGGCTATTTACTACCGATTCCCATGATTATATCCATGAGAGGGCTAGGGTGCAAACCGGATTATCACTTGCTTTATTTGCTTATCGCCATAGCAATAAGTGTCTTTACTATAGGGTTCATGTCTCCTATATTTGCTGTGTCATATATATATTAACCTTCTCACCTAGTATATCGAATTCCATTTGAAGTAGGGTCGAGAACCAGGGACTATCAAACGATGGGTCACAGTCGAACCCGAATTCCTAAAGGGATGGCGAACTCGAAACGATGTCACTCTGTAAGCTAACAGTCTGAGCCTGGATGGACTCGGTAGGCTGACATTGCTTTGTAAAGTCCGAAGAATTGGTTTCGAGAGCACCCGATACTAGCATCGAATTTCATTTTCTGGGTCATTGTTCACGAGATCGCGAATAATGCATTCAAGAACATTACGAATGTCGATAAACTCTTAGCGCAGCACCTACCTAAAGGGAGAGAGTCATGGACTCTCGAATGGACGGAAGACGCGAAAATTCTTCCTTTCTTTAGAATGGTTACCCCCGAAGGGCCATCGAAGAATAAAGCATTGACGTTCTCATCACTACGCCATAACAACATCGCTCTAGCCAGACGAGATGGATTTAAAGACCCACTACGTGTACATGGCATTCGGGGCGGCGTTACTAATAAAATTGACGGTGTGTTTTTACAATCTACTTCCAATGTTTCCTACTAACTGTCTAGGGCGAGCATCTGAGGCTACTCGTAGTCAAGTACTTGATCACCAAAATCCGGACACCTTTTTGAAATATTAGGCGGCTTTAAAAGCATTGGATGTCCAAGCATCGTTCCATGACTTGGAGCCTGACCTTGAGTGCCGAGATATGGAATAAAGCATAGCTTATTACCGCGATTCTAATGCTCCTGTTACTCTGAATGCGGCTACTCGGGAAGAGTTCTCGCAGAGTGAGGAGATTGCCCTGATCGATACAGAGATTGTCCTGCTTACGAAGCAAATTTCCGGCAAACCCAAGGATCACCCAGAGCTGGACGCTAAGCGTACAAAGCTTTACAGTACAAAGGCCAATAAGCTCCAGGCCCGTACTTCATCATTCATTTCGGCATGGTGGGAGGCTTCGTATGATGCGTATATGGCGGGGAACGAATTTGAAGAACATGACAAAACCTATGTCTTCGAGATACTGGAGAAATACATCCGACAGCGCGCTCGTCTTAAATAAAGCTTATTTAACTCTTGATAGCGCTGTTGGCCGTCAATGCCTGGTAGATATGATTCACCTATGTTGCGATACTGAAAGGGTCGTCTACTACCCTGGGTTGTGCCCTGAAGATGGCCTATTGTAAAACGAGTATGGCAAGGTAAGTCTAGTGACTTTACGAACCCTTTTACACCAGCTGAACTAGAAAAAGAATTCGATATAATGGGCGCGCGAAATATATATTGCACTAGGCTCTGCTCCTTACCAGCAGCGATACACGAATGGCAAAGTGTTGGTTTTCTGGATTTTGCATTCCGGAACCAAGTTGTCCCATGTGACAGTCTGATCTTCTGCCTTTCTTTTACGAGCAAGGCAGTTGGGGCGTGGTTCATCAATCGAGTGCCCATCATATAAGTGTCTTCGAAGGCTTTCTTCACCCGCATAAATCTGTTGATTGCACAAAGGATGGGGACATGGTATCGCCGAGTCGGACTCAAACTGACGAAGATGGGAGTCGATATGATTGCAAAGTGTGGCTTTCTTCACTCATTGTTGAAACCTTTCATCTGGCTCCTTACTTTCATTGCCAAGGCAAAAAGGACAGAAAGCTAGGGCAACAAGCGTGGAGCGAAACGTCATAAGGCCGCATCGAGGCCAGAGGTGGTCAAGATACCATTTACAATGCTGCGTCCAGCTTTGTTAATCGTGGTAAAATTCCGCATACAGGTAACAAAACTGAGCGAAATTGCGTTGAACCCGGCGATAGGCGCGTTGCGCATAATGGGCTCCAAGGTATCCGATTGGGAGGATAAGGGTGCCTTCTGGGATTGTACGAGAGAGAGAAAAAAAAATAAAATAAATATAAGTGGCCCTGTCCTTGGGAAAGGCTTTCGCAACAATACTCCTATGCGAAGGGTTCGACGGTATATGGCGCTCAATGACAAATGCCTAATTATAATAACTAGATGGCTTATTCTAAAACAACGGAAAAAGTAAAATAACTGAATTACTATTAGATATGCCTTAAGAATCGAGGCTTTTTACCTCATACAAATGGTATTATCTTCAAGTCTTTGGACTTGTTGTAAACTACCTGGAATAAAGATGTGAAAAGCTTCGATTTTGACACTTGCAAATCGTTCAAGAATATGGAGATACTACCATTTGTATGGAGATGACAGGCTTCATTCTCATGGGTAAACGGCGCCTAGTTATTACATGCCGGAGTTTGATAGATAAGATAAAGCTATTCTCACTATACAAATCTCTACGCTCATCCGATTTCAGGTGTCGAAGTAGTGGTGGGTATTTTGAGTTCCATACGGAAGAGGGCCCCATAAGGAAGAGGCTCAATATGGAAGAGGGCTCCGCAATTTGCAGCACAGATGGTCAACGTAGACCGCGCTTAGTGATTAATTTGGAATCAAAGTCCACTATTTTTTAAAGAACGCTGGTTTTCGGATAGAATTTCATTCGCAGCCTTATCTAACATGGTTCCAATTTGTGAAGGCAAAGCAGAGCAAATAGCAAAGAAACAAATTATCCTAGGAAAAGAGACCAGCTCAACGCAGATATTAGCTTGAATAGGTTTTCACTAGTGCCTCGCTGCCTGCCGCGGCGTCGAAGACCTATTCTCCATTTGAGTAGGCTGGCGTATCGGTTTTTCTATATCGCGACGAAGGTCGTGAGTCTGGTACGAGCTTTCTCGGTATCGTGAACTCCCACTTTCGCCTCGCTTTACGTTCGCATAGTGGCCTCTGCTGTACTTCGGGGCACGTGAACTTGACGTTGTGGATTCTCGCATCTCTTGGGGCTGCGGACGCCGCTTTGTTCTTCTTCTCGGGGGGTTGTCTTCCGGGTATTCAAATCCTTGCGAGGCTGCATAGTCTTCTTCATCGCCCTCGTCTTCTGATGGCTGATCGTTACCACGCGTTTGTTCCACTTCTAACGCCTTCTGATAGATAATGTTGTCACCGTTGCGGCTTGGACCGGTGGCGATTCGGCGAATAAAGGTCCTTGTTTTGAGTGTAGTCCTTCTATCACTCCAGAGGACTATCACACGTGTCTGTGGGTATGTAACACCAGGCCCTGGGACAATCAAATTTAGCAGATCTATATTGTCATCATCGTCATCTGGAACTTTCCAGCCCACACCGAGAATATCAGAGACGTGAGCCCTAGTCTAAGCCCAGTCCTGGACCATGATCCCATCTGTTCCGCAAAAGATCCGCTTTTTGTACCGCGGGGTTCAGAGCTAAGAACCTGCTCAACCTATTTTCTATCAAAAGATTCGTAAGAGCTAGCCCTAATTCGATATACGGAATCCACATCTCCATATTTCACAAAAGTTTGATAGCCAGTACCCTTTTTCCACCAATATAGAACTTCCCCGGAAGAAAGAGCCCTCTGTTCACTCTGGGCTCTGGCTTCTAATTGTTGAAATCCTGTCAGATTGCCTTCGGTCAGATTGTGAAAGCCGCTAGGTTGCCGAGTAGTAGGCGGCGCTCTTTTGTAAGTGTTGCTGGCGACGTTTGCGTACATTGTTCGCATATCATTCGAACTGAGTACTCCCTCCAACTCCATGGGGCTGATATTCCAGTTTTCGGAGAGATAAAACTTTTCGTTGAACGCGTTGATCATATTGTAGGTATAGTTGAAATCCGTCACAAATCGTTTAGTTCGGTTCACATTGATATTACCATATCGTAGTCTCCAAAGAGTAACAGCGTTTGTGACAATCTCATAGTCCACACATCCACCTAAAGCCGGCCTACGATCCTTTTTATTGGCAGCCTTGATCTTTTGGTTCAATTCATTGAAAAATGGTAGGTACAACTGTTGTTCCATTTGAATTTTTGTCGTCGAAAAATTCAAGGACTAAATCATAGTAGCGATTGGTTTCTACCCAAATGATATTTTTCACGTTATGGTCTAGAAGCGATTGTTCATTGTCGTGCTCAATAGTCGGCTGCTCGTCATCATACTCAATTGTCGGCTGCAATTGCCTACTATCCAAGTCTTGGGGCCCCCCACTATTGCAGAACTTAATTTATTTCACTATAGATCGGATAGAATATGTATGTGCTCACCTCTGCATCACTTCGTCGTCGAGCAGGCTATATTCAGATCCTCTTGGTTTCTTATTAGGACCATCACGAAAGGAGACATGGCTTCTAGGTTGATTCATTTAGTCAACCATCAAGCTGCCATATGCAATCCACATACCCTCCCCTTCCTCCCTCGCTGTCACTTGCACCCGGTGTGCCAGTGTGACTTCGGTCCGGAGCCTTTTGAGTACTGGGACTCGGTGTTCCCTTACCACTTGGGGCTGGAGTGAGAAGCTGCTGCTGACGAGCTTTTCTAGCTTTTCTTGTCCGCGCCATAGTCAATGAGTTTCGCTTTTTGTCCAGATTGGAGAATGGAATCTCGGTTTAAATAAGGTTTCTTGCCAACCCCAAATGATCTTAGCGTTAGATCCCTAAATAGGCCCTTTGAAGCCAATCGCGAGCATACAACGGTGTTGGCAACGACATAGTTTGATTGGTCAGTGAAATTAAATCATTTTTTGGATCATAAATTATTTTTCAAACAGACCCTAATCTATAAACCCTTTGTATATGCCTTCAACATCATACACACTACGCTCTGTAAACTATCTCGGAACTACAATTTCATGTAAGCAAAGCATTTCTACGTATCAAACCGCATTATTGATAAGTCTAGAATGATTGGTACCTTGTCTTGGGAGTGTGTCAGTTACCCCTTCAAAGACTCCAGTTCTTTAAATATGGAGATCCGCTCATCCGACCCTGGGTCTTGCTGGGCCACAGTTTGGTCCTTCCTTCTTTCTGCGAAAAGACGAGTATATATCCATACAGTTTGTAGGGATTGTATCGAGGAGAGAGACTATGCTTTCCCAGATGAGCAGTTGAGCGTTATCTGGAAAGCCAGAGAACAATTTTACTTCGAAAATCGAACTTCTTGGGCAAGGACAAGCTGGAGATACTGGGTGCCAAGCTCGGAATGCCAGGCAATCAACAATCTCGTTTCGCAGAATGATAAGCTCACTCTATTACTGGCTGTCGACACTTTTCTCTCTTGAGTCTTCGAAGGGGTATTTGCTAGGTGGATAGTTAAGGAAATCTATATATGGTGTAGTGGGGGACCTTGTCTTCCACTACGTATTGACCTTGCCTGTCCTCTCTTTATTAAGTGGCTTCATTACGTAACCCTGGAGTGATGGAGGATATATGTAGAAGATAGAGACAGATTGAATGTATATACCTCTACACCTCTCTGAGTTGACTTCTTGGGCAGCGGGCCTGGGTTCCTTTGTATGTACAGTCGGGTATGAAACTGAACTGCGAGTGCTGAATCGACCTGTATGCCTTAGAGTATACAGCCTTGAGCGTTCCCCTCTTTAATGGCTAAACAAAATAATAAAAGTATCTTCCTCGACCAGGCTGCGATTAATGAGAGGAACTAGATGGTCGTAAGTGTCGTCCGTTGCCCGTACACTCGTTGCACTTAAATACATTATGCATTGAAGGAAAGGCTCTTATGGATCTATGAACCCAAGTTATCTATTTAAAATGATAGTAATGTTTCCTTCGACTGGTTTATCCCTATATTCCCCTTGAATCTCTCCAAGAGCAGATAGTTCCCGTTGCAGTTTTTCCGGAAGCCATATTTTCGATAGTTGAATAGACTGGATTTACAAATGCGCGTTCAAAACCCTTTGGATATCCGCATATGTGACCCAACAGCGTCGAAGTTCAAAATGACGGAGAACAGGAAGGTGGATGTTCGACAGGAAATCAATCAAAACGGGACTGTCATCTAGACACAGTGTTTCGATATTTCGTAGTGCCTCTGCCATTCTGTCTCGGAGACTACGATGACAGACCCTTATCTGAGCGTAGAACACAGATATCTGGAAACATCTAATCACAATACCGTTCTCTTTGGCCACAACCATAGCGTCGATGATTGTTTCGAGGTGTGTCAGAAATAAGTAGTCCAATCATCAAAGACTCGAGGTGCGAACCAGAGAAATGTGACCCAAGGGGACTTAGCAGGCAGCATACATTGCTCCTGTCCAGTCTACAGTCCCCTACGCACCCAGGATGGGTGCTCTACGCACCATGACAGGTACCATACTTCGGGCATCAGCCTTCTCAGTACTGGGGTCCTGACAGTTAATAACGGTATGGTATTCCTAGGTTATATTCCTATAGAAAGGTTTAACGTTTGTAGGCTCTCGCGGTATATAAATATAATATCTCTCTATTACTTATAGTGACGGAAAAACGGTGGTAAGGCGAATGTATATGTGACAGAAAAATCTCAATAAAATCTCTAACTCTCTAAAATGACAAATGTCCAGGAAAAATGACAATCTTGTGGACAACTTAGTAATCAAAGACAAACAAAACAAAATGAAAGGATGTTTTCGGCCGAAAACCGTGGACTTGGTTTTTCGGCGGAAAAAACAAATGCGCATGTCACGTGATCCATCCGTAACAAGGATGAAACATTACAGTATCCAGCACAGATTCCGACAGAGAGGAATCTATTGTCCTCTTGCTATGCTTCATGATATTGTTGCATATGCAAGGTTTTAGACGACCAAAGCCCCCATTTCTGCGAGTCTTCTAGGGTCTGGCCCTTCCCCCGGTTGGTATGTAGTAGAGGACCCAACACCGTCTTGGTTGAAACTCAAGCCGCTGGTCCCCGGAAGTTGGGTAGTTGCAAGGCCTGCCGGATTGCACATCTCCATCCGCAGCTGCATGATCCATCGTTTGAGTGATATATTCGCTCTCCCGGCATCGAAATAGAAATCTATCAAGGATGACTGACCCCTGGTAGGATCGGAACAGATCTCTGGCCAGTTGATCGAACGCCGCGCATTTGAATCCGGCTGTGCATCCGGCTGCCCGCGTTCCATATATAGGTCATCTTGCAAAATGATCTCTCTTCCACGGTAACCAAGACTAGACAATTGGACAAACTGCAGCTTGGGGCTATCTGCCAACAATTCGAAGCTTTGCTTCCAGAGTTCCTGGATCTTATTGATAACTTCGAGAGATAGCGAAGAACCCCAACTACTCCTCTCTTCTGTGAGGGGGCCTGGATCTTGTGCTCCGATTATCGCATCTGTCAAGCTGACATTCTTCATACTCAGTCGCCTTAAGGTTGGCGCTGCTGTCTGAAGAAAGCGCTTGAGATTCCCCACTGTCAGCTCAATGGAATGAAGATGAAGTTCTTCTAGCTGGGAAAACCGGATATTCTGGGAGAGATCCTGAAAATAGAGAGGAGACAATTCTTCCAAGGGACTCCATTGAGCGAAGGTCAGAACCTTTAATTTGGGTGCGACTGTGACCAGTATACTAAGAAGATGTTTGAAGGCGTCTTCATCGAATGTATCGTTTTCGTTATCTTTAATACGAATGCACATATGTAGAGTCGTAAGATCGGTCAAGAGCGATAGCAGTGATTGATACTGTGACTCTGACAGTTTTATAGACCCCAACTTCATGCCACATGCGATATTGCCGCACGTATGGAGGGCGCGGACCTTGTGGCTAGATTTGATTATAGCCTTGACCATTTGTGAAAATGCTAAGCCCAGAGGCATAGATAACATCTTCCGCTGGAAACTTGTAAATGTTAAATGAACACTTATATCATCGTTGTTGAACTGGTTCTTCAGTTCACGTAAGCCAAGGCAGCGAAATGAACGATAGTTTGCTTCCAGGAGAAATTCAATGGGGTAACACCGTAAGCCGACTGTGGTGGCGTTTTCGAGGCGCGGTAGGCATTTTTCAAGAACCGCAGTAAGTTCCGAGTCGAGAATAGCACGATGCTCTTCTAGTGCAGCTTGATAAGAGGTGAATAGAGCGTCAAGCTCAGCCTTAGCCTCAGTTTTATTGAATGGTGGTTCTTCCTTTTCACCGCGCATTATTCTGAAGATGCTTCTCTGTTGCCGGAGCGCCAATCCCGGACTTCTGAAACGTTCCTTATTCTTTTCTGGCCACCCCTCGAACAAGTTTGGGATGATCCGAATTTCTTGAACCGAGCCTCGTAAGGTTTCACTTTCTGCAATATCCTCCAGATTGTCAAGGCTTTCACGGGTGAGAAGAAGTGATAAAATTTTGAAGTAGCGCGTTGCATAGGCTTCCAGTGTACTGCCATGTATTTGGTGGCAAGTGATTCTGAGCGCACCCCACTCCTGAGGCTCCAGATATTCACAAATATGAGACAATATCTCTGGAGGCAGGATTGTGATAGACATTTTGCACCAGTTTATTTAGGCCACACAAAGATATGCAGCATTCCAGACGAATGAATAGTCACGTGAACGGTTAGGGATGGGGTTGGAAAGTGGAAGAGACTGGTAGAGGAGGATTGGAAATCCTATGAAATGCCGATACAACGCTTAAGTAATCATCACATGTCACTCCGTGGTGCTGACCCGAACACCGTTGGTGTTCGGGAGTGGATCATGTGATGATTACTGGAGATCCTCCAAGGCTATTTGTCCCACACTTAACCGGCGAGAGAAACTAAACTAATCTTGCAAGCGATTGAAAACTAAATGCCTAGTGCTTTTCCATATCCACAGTGTTTCTTTTTTAGGAATGCCTGTAAAAATATTGGCAACTCGTGATTAATTATCTGCCGACAAAAAAGCCGGAACGATACATAGTACCACCATACCTCCCCAAATATTTGACAAGTGATTTAACGGCCCATTGCCCAATTGCCAGTTGAAGTCATATCAGAATTATGATTCAAGGAACGGTATCACTCCATCTAAGAATGGTCCCACTTTTGAAGGAAACCAGCATAAAACGTGGCCGGCGTGTCGGTTCCCACGGTTTTGGAGTTATAGTACCACCAAGCCAAAGCAAAATGGACATAATTTTCCGTATTCTGATAAGCATACTTTGTCACAGTACTTCCATCTTGGGTGACTATCCAGGGACTGAGCGCCATGCTTAGACAGTCCATCATATTGTCTGCGTGTGAATGGACAATCAGCATTTATTATGTACGAGGCCGAACGTAGGAGAAAAGGGGGAAAAGGGGGGAGCGGGGGGGGAGGGTGGAGGTTTCAAAGGGTAGTACTCACAACTATGATCAACAATCATATTTTGTCCGCTTATCGTGCCGGCTGTGGTCACATCCCACCTGGTCACCATGTGCAAGATTTCATGAAGTATCACAGTGCTCATAGGCTTGACAAACGACAGTTGTGGCCTGTCGACCAAATCCGCGGTCACGGTAAGAGTTCCAATATCACTCAGCAGGATGTTACCAGCCGAGCTGTCACTGGCCGTACTGGCCCCCAACACATTGGGGCAAATCAAAACAAAATCCGAGAGTGCCTCTCGATAGACAGGATAGTTCAAGCCATCGCGTGGTATACTTTTCAGGGAGTCAGAATTGCCAAAGGAGTTAAGCCCTTGCAAACCACTGGTATCGGAACACATAGTATCCGCACTGAAAGTCGTGGGGGATAGAAGATAGTAGTTGTTCAACGATGGAACGTAGTATGGTACCTGTGAACCTCCTATGTAGCTCGCCCAGTCGTGATAGATATCTTCCACTGTCGCGAGGGAATTCAATTGCCGCCCAGCGCTATCAAACATAACAGTGTCCCATCCAAATGGCTCTCCAAAATCACCACAGAAGAGATTTGCTGGAGATTTCCAAGCCTGGTACGCTCCGCCATTCGTAATGAGAGATTGGAGACGAGTGATGTGCTCTAATCCGAAATTGTATACTGTCAGTAGCTTTTCTCTTTGACAATCCAACATTGCTTACCTGTGACAACAGTCCAAGCAGTATTACTCTCTGCAAGGAGCGCTCCAGTGCCGTCAAATCTAATACCAAACCAAGCGGTGAAGAGCTCTCGAGCCACGATGGTCTGCTGCGTCTGCCCTGTTTGCTGAGCCCATTTGACTGCGTTAAGCATTTGGGTAGCAAGAGTTGAGAAGTCGTCGGCATAATTGTTTAGCCTCGTTGTGTACGACGAACAGTCCCCATAGCTGGGGAGAACGGAAGGGAGGTTGAACAAATCAGAGACAGTGAGAGCCGCAACATTGCTGACCCCCAAGCATAAGGAAAGCCAAGAAACTATTTTCCTTGATCCTAACATGGTACCGGCGAACGAGTGTGAGAAAATAGACTTCGTCAAGTGAGAAGGACAGCCTTCACTGTGATTATAACCTTTTGATATAACTGCAAAGCCTCTTTATGCAGGAGAGAGAGAGGATCGGCTCTTTCGCCGTTCTCGATCCTTCATTTTGTGTTTTTTCCCTTATTTTTCCACTTCTGATATCCTCCACTGCCCCTTCAATCTCGCTTATTACGGGCTTGTGGACATTGTGGTAACTAGGTCCATATAGTGGCAAGCTATCTTGATTTTGTATTCGTATACTGAACATTAGTACACAAGTGGGTCCACGCGGGATCGCGGCCCCGGGGGCCATAGGGGCCAAGCTCGGACAATCCCCGCTTGGCTTTAGCATCCGACCCACTAATCACCCCTAGGATCTTTTAGACAACTTGGCCAAGCTTTCGCCAATCATGGCCAAGATTCCACGCGTCAGATCCACCGCTTATGGAGAAAGGGAAAACTCAGGGGCGGACGAAAACCAATAAGAGCCAACAAGGCGAGATAAATTCAGTTCGGGGTTGTTCATCGGGTACTCCGTACTCCGTACGGACTCCGGAGTACTCCCGTGGGATTCAAATTTTAACCGATCAGACCCGATACTGGAACCACCTCACACAGGGGTTCTAACACTCCGTAGATATTGAAGTCTTACAATTCTCCCTTGACCCGTACAGATACGAGCCACCGATAAAGGCCACTTTGTGCCCACTAAATTTTCAATCATCGCACCGTTATCTTGAATTATATTATTTTGAAATCTCCCATCGGCTTCTCGGTATGGCAAATCATGCGACAACCCTTAGTGCCGGATATCCCGGACCGAATCAACGGGTCGGACTTATTTTGGAAATTACTTTGCCGATCAGGAACTAAAGACGGAAGGGTCTAGTACTAGTACGATGCATACTCTCCGTACTAGTAGTATACTAACTGCGCACTCCTAACTACATACCAGATAAATCCCGCACTGTAGCCGAGGTGGATCGATCCTCTTCGCCTCTAGATTTCAATTTCCAACTCCCAACACGGACTTTGAGATATCATAGGCTGAAATGTGTCCGGCTAGTGGTTAGTACTCAATTTAGTCGGAATTGGGAATCCTAGCGGAGCACGCTCTAGCGTAGAGAAAATTTGCAACCTCGACAGAAATAAACACTAGCGAGACAGTAGATTTGATCTTTGAAACGACGGCGTCTTGGGGCTTGCCACATTTGAAGGATTGATAGAAAACTTGCAGTGGAGAATGGCTAGTCCAGATATGGTCGGATTGGAGTGTTGATGAGAAGTAATTTTCCTCAAAGATTTCTGCGTTCATATTCAATAATTCATCTATAAGAGCCAGGTAACGGGCCCGCATTATTTCCAACTTCAACTCATATCAAATTGCCAGACTTCATGTCTATGGCAACTGATTCTTCACTCTTTTATTGATTTACTTCTTCATTTACTCTCTTTGGATCTCCTTTCTGCATGGTACCTGAATTATTACCTCGTGTCCTGAGATCACCATAAACTCGATGCACTCCTTCCTCGGGGCTGCGGCCTCTATTCTGGCCCTCGGTGGCTTTGCTGGTCACGCCGTTGCGACCAGGGTTGGACGACCAGCACTTTGTCCAGACAGCTGCGCTAGCTACAACCCAGTCGACTGGTTCACTTTTCGAAATGTCCCACAAGTCACTCGATGCAATGAGACTATGCTCCTTGAGTTCAACATTTTCAATGACCTGAATGACCCCCAGGTGCATTCCACTATGCATGTCTGCGCTTCTGGTGACCTCGACAAATTACAAAACTCAGCTTCTGTCAAACCTGCGTCTTCCTCCGTTTCAACCAAGAAAGAAATTACATACCAGATCGGTGCTTGGGGCTCTAGTCCTTCCGAATCTGGAGAAAGCAATTATTCTGAGCTTCTGGATGCTTTGCAAACCTATCTGACTGGGCACCCACAGAAAGCAGAAATCTTTGGATACTCCAATGGAGTAGCCGCTGGTGTTTATTTGGGTGGCAGTGTTCAACAGGTTTCCAATGTTGAATTTGCCATTGAAAAACTGAGAAGCTTCCTTTCCGACACCACCTACAGCACCGCTGCCATTCAGTACTGTGGATCTAGTTCCAACGAAACAATTGGTGTGGCGGTTGACCTTAATGGCGACATTCCAACTGTTCAACAATACGTTCAAAGCTGGCATGGAGGAGAGTGTCTGTCAGGCTTCGACAAGAGTGCAACCGGCAGTACATCTCTGACATTCCTGGGTACCCACAAGGCAAACGGAACACAATCAACACATTCGCGAGCCTCGCGTGGCTCTCATGGCTCTCATGGCTCTCATGGCTCTCACGGTCATCACGTATCTCACTCTCATCAACGCAGAGATGATACATGCACATACAGAGAAGTGGTTTCCGGGGATACATGTTACGGACTGATCACAGACTGCGGAATCACCTCTGACGAGTTTTACGAGTACAATACTGCAACAGACCTCTGTACTGCACTAGTACCGGGAGAGTACGTGTGCTGTTCCTCTGGCTCGCTGCCGGACTTTTCGCCATCTGCATATTCGAATGGAACATGCTATACGTACAGTGTGCAATCTGGAGACAGCTGTTCTGATCTGGCCAGTACATACAGTCTCACCGAAGCCGAAATCGAGACTTACAACAACGAGACATGGGCCTGGTATGGATGCAGCGAGCTACAGGCCGGACAAAGCATCTGTTTATCGACAGGCAACCCTCCCTATCCTCTGCCGATTGCCAACGCAGAGTGTGGACCTCAGGTTGCGGGAACGGTCTTCAATAGCACCGATTCCGGGGACTGGGAGAGCTACAACCCATGTCCTTTGAATGCCTGTTGCGACGCCTTTGGCCAGTGCGGTATTACACCGGTTTACTGCAATCGCACCTTTGCGGACAACAATAACCCTGGAACCGCAGCGAATGGAACAAACGGGTGCCTTTCAAGTTGTGGAACAACAATCACAAACTGGGCAGTCCCTCCTTCAAGCTTCTACAAGGTCGGCTACTACGAGCCCACTAGTATGGATCGATCCTGTCTCCAGATGAGTCCGCTCTCAATTGACACATCTGTATTGACTCACGTCTATTATGCGTTTGGCAATATTTCGTCGGACTTCTCCATCAATGTGAATGGATATGAAACAGAGTTCTCGGAGTTCATGGAGTTGAAAGACGTCAAGCGTGTTATGTCCTTCGGCGGCTGGGATTTCTCTACCGGCGTCGATACATATATGATCTTTCGCGAGGGAACTACTGCAGCATACAGATCCACCTTGGTGGAAAACATAGTTAACTATGTTTCTGATACCGGTCTTGATGGTATCGACATTGATTGGGAGTATCCAGGCGAGCCAGATATCGCAGGCATCCCGGCCGGAAGCGATGACGAAGGAGAGAACTACCTTGCTTTCCTCAAAGCGCTCAAGGCTGCCCTACCTGACGATATCATTCTTTCAATTACGGCTCCAGCCTCGTACTGGTATCTCCAAGCCTTTCCAATTTCCGACATGGCAGATGTCGTGGACTTTATCAACTACATGACCTACGATCTGCATGGAACCTGGGATGAGGAAAGTACCTGGGCCGACAATGGCTGCACAGCCGGAGACTGTCTTTTCTCTCATGTCAATATGACCGAAACCGAATGGGCCCTGGCCATGTTGACCAAGAGTGGAATTGCCACTAACCAAATTATGGTCGGAGTGGCTAGCTATGGTCGTTCTTTTGAGATGTCTGAGGAAGGCTGTTATACCCCCAGCTGCACTTGGACTGGCGCAGGAAGAGCAGGAGAATGTACCAATACCGCGGGATACATTTCGAATGCAGAGATCAACGAAATTCTCCAGACCAACGAGAACTCTCAGGCTTACTCGGATGGAAACGTGACTGACTTCATCGTCTACAATGACACCCAATGGATCGGCTATATGACCAATGATACCAAGACCAAGCGCGCAACCTGGTACGAGGGTTATAACTTTGGTGGTACAGCTGAGTGGGCCATTGACCTCGAGGAGTTTGTGGACAACGATGAGAGCTCGTCCGATAGCTCAGGAAGTTCAGACAGCTCAGATGAGACAGCAACACTGACGATCGATCCGGAAGTCTGGGCACAGGCAACTCCCGCCGTTACCTGTGCGCCGCCCTGTTTGATGATCATGCCCCCTCTGCCGTTGAACTCGCACACCACTATTTCTTTCCCCCCATCCAGCGGTCATCTTACTTGGAGCTCACTTGGGACCTCCACATACACCCTCAGAGATGGAAACGTCACTATGCTTCCATATTACGAAAATATCTATGTCCCATGGGTATTCGACATCGACCCTGGTACGTTATCATGTTACCCTATGAATCCTACGCGCACTGGTATCCTAAATACTGACCTGTTGATATAGTGACAACTGATTATATCAATGTATGGAACCAACATATCTCTGCAGGTCAGACAGCCGTTTACCAGACGAGCTCAGTGACTCCAACGCCTTTTGCTGTCGTTTATACCCCGTGAGTCCCAAATCTTAATGCCAGTCATCCTTTCTTAGCAAGTCAAGTCAAGCTAACCGAAGCAGAACGGTCGGAGGCTCCACTACCGTCATCGGTGGCACCACGAGCGTTATCCCCGGATTCGATTATTCCTCTGGCAGCGTAACCTATACTACAAGCAATTTCACTGGTATATGGGGAGGTACCACATCCGTCAGCGGTGGAACCACTCAGACTCCGCGGACTTCAACTGTGACACCTTTGGCCTATCCGACAACCACCAACAAGACACCCGATCCGACTTTGAACACTAAGACAACCACCGTGAGATCGTCTTCCGACTCCTCGAGCTGGGGTCCAAAGGCAACCTCCAGCTCTGAGCATACAGGCTCAACCTGTAAGTTTTAGACTCCGTCCCAAATTCTCCTTTACAGATGCTCCATCTAGAATCATTTGACTTATCAAATATTAGGTATAATCAATTGCTTTGGAGGCTGCTTGCTTTGTCCTCCGGATCTTAGTATTGAAATTAGTGGTGGTGGCGGTGACGATGGCGGCGGCGACGAAGATAACAAGATAACAATTACAGAAAGCGCATACACAACTACCATGACCGTAAGTGGCAAGTTAACTACCATCACCGAAAGCGCCACGACAAAGACCGAGACGGAGAGTGAATCTGCCACCAGCACCGAGACCACCAGCACGATCACAGTCGGCATTGCAGTCGGTACATACACTGCTTTCGCCGAGCCATCTGGTTCATTGGGTGCTACGACATATCCCATGGCAAGCCTCACGTCACTCGCCTCACTGTTTGCTAAAGAGTTCTCATCTCTTTATTCCGGTGAGCAGTACTCTCTCACAGCCGGCCTGTACACAACATCCACATCGACACAATCCACATCGACACAATCCACATCTACATCAACTACTTCGTCAAAAATATCCACATCCACATCAGACGCTGCAACGGCCACACCCTCGGAACTATTCATTATCGCTCTCTCTGAAGATGACAACGAGCTGGGCAACCCTTACACCTGGCAATACTTTGATCCAACATATAGCGCGAGCTGGAGCGCGTGTGATGATGTAGGTGGAGGCTCAGAGGCACCATCATCTGGCGAAGGCCTTCCGGATGGCACTTTCGATATCTCAGTCAACATTCACGGTATGAGTGACTGTGTTTATACGGGTACCACCGATGCTGCGGGTACATTCACTTGCCCCGACCTCACATCTACTGTGACGTGTGAGAAGAGTCCAGACACAGGCAGATACACATGCTATGAGGCACTAGCTCCAGTTGAGTTTACTCCCAAGATCCAATGCTCTTGGTAGATTCGATTTTTCAAAATTGTTTTGTCTCCACAGGCAAGTGGCGGGAAATCGAATAGATGTTAGTGACTCTGAGATATTTATACATTTTAGACGTGTTGTACTTTAATCAAATCAATTGAGATAAATTATTCATCATTCGCTGTTTCTTCAATGAATATCTGGTGGTCAACTTATGAAAACTGATCTACATTCTACCAGAAATTTAAATCAAATATTAAAAAGGAAAGATTTAGACTTACATGTAATGATTCTGTAAATTACAATCATCGTATGTTCGCTGCGGCTTTATACTTCCCTTCCCAGTGCCACCGAATTTTTAGGCTCACGATAGTCACGTAAGAGCTTCTCCTAGGAGCTTAAGATTTCTATTCAAGAATGGGAATGAAAGAGGATTTGAAACATGAAGGGCATATAGTGGGCCCGTATAGTATATCTAAGTCCCCCAGAATGCATATGGTTTTGCTTTCCCTCGGAAAAATATAAAGCCTCTACGCGCTCAGCTTGGCGAAGGAGTCTCCAAAATTAAATACCATGACTCAGATTCCGCTGTGGGCTCAAAGGGAAGATTCGCCAATATTCTTGTCCATAGAAGCTTTTCAAGCTGAAAGAGACTTCGAGAAAGAATCTCTTTGAAAGTGGTGAAACTAATTTCGACTCATCCTGTACTTAACCCGTTTTGGGTAACAGCCCAGAAACAATGAGTGTGTACTTGAGGGATACAGTAGTAGTAGTAGTAGTAGTAGTAGTAGTATTCATTTACACTGACCTCTCGCCGAAGCGATATGCAGTATACGACAACTATATATCTGAGTATGTACATCTAGAATGATCCACTTCCTGACAGGAACTTAGAGCCTCGTCACGGCCTATCGTGGCCATTTGCCGTTCCCGTTGTTAGGCTGCCCTCATGGCGCGGCTATAGTGGAACTGTGGATGAGACGGATAGCAAGTATCCGAGTTTGGCTGCATCTCTGTTAGGAACCGCGAGAACGCGGGTTGAGCAGAAGCTAAGAATCTGGACAGTGACTGTATGGCAGATGCGGGTTTGTTCCGAGGTCGTTTTATTGACCGTCGGCTTGTCTTATTCTCGAGCTGGAACGGTGACGGTTTATTGTGAAAACGGAGATGAAGATCTTCAATTGTGAGTATGGGTTTGGCGGGAAGAAAAAGTTCTTGCACTGGGGGAGTCGGTTGCGGTATGGATGTGATAGGTCGCTGGAGGACGGAAGCATAGGTTGTTTGTCGGTTTTGGGGCGAGGAAATGATGGACGGTATCGTTTGATGAGGCTGGGGAGAGTAGGGTGTTGGAGGTTGTTGAGGTTCTGGGTCGGTTGTGGCTGGTGTAGCTTGAGCGTGGGGTTCGGCGTTGGCGTTCGAAGATTTCTCTACTGTAGTGGGTACGGTTGGAGTTGATTGGGCTAGTGTCTGTGTGCTGGCGTCGTGGTTGTCTTCTTAGATGGTTCATTTTCTATAGAAGGGTGGTGGCTGGAAGTTGGCTGTCTAGGTGGAGGGAATGCGTTGACTGAAGGATGGAGTATATCGGTAGATTCGAGAGTTCTTTTTAGTTTGTCGTAGATGACCTCCCATACGCAGTCGTCGGTATATAGTTTCTGTGGAGAGTTTGGGGCTGGAAGCTTCCTAGGCGTAAGAATGCCTGGTAAGCAAAGCAGTACGCCATGTCACTAAAAGGTCTGTTCGGTTTATAGTAGAAACCGTTTCGCGCCAGTTGGAGTGGGGTGACGCTATTGAGTAGTTGTCCCTCGAATGACCGAGCTTGTGCTTCGATGGTATAAAAGGGGGTCGCGATGAAGTGTTTTTCTCGGGGGGGAAAGCGCGGGGTAGGTGTTTCGGGTGAGGTGGCGGCGTTTGCAGATTTGAAGGTAGCGGGAGGGTAGCGGCGGGTAGGTAGAAGGTAGCAGCCCTAATCTTAGGCCCCGTGGTGGACCTCTATTCATAAATTTTTGGAAATGAAGCTAAACGAGACATGAGAGCACTTAATGTATCTATCTGACGCTATTACTATCTAGGGGCAGAGATCACCCGACCCAATGGTAACGATGAGATATAAGCCATCTTACCATCCCACCCACGGCTAGTCTATTGTTCTGAGCTATCTATAGCCCTCTATCGCACTTAGGCTGATACATACGACCATAGGGTGTGGAAAACAGGGCTTCCCGTCCGCTCAGCCGTACTTAAGCCACACGCCGGTGAGTTAGTAGTTGGGTGGGTGACCACCAGCGAATCCTCACTGTTGTATGTTTTTGTTTTTATTTATTCAATATAGCAATACATAGATAGCATGTTCATCTTAGGCCCCGTTGTGGACTATAATATTTTAGAAATCAAGCGTAACGATACATGAGCACTCCATGTATTTATCGAAGGATCCATTATTGGCGACGGATCGGACCACTACGACAAAACTAATTTTATCCATGGCCCTCAAATAAAATGTGCAGTGGAAATTTAGCCGACAGTGCTTGCGAGAATCGTAATTCAACCAATTAATTCGCAAATACGCACCGTATCACCCAGCTGAGGTCTAAAAATCTTACCTAATTTCTAGACCTCCTGACCTTCATCATTTATAACTTGTCCGACGAGCGTTCCAAAGGTTCCAGGCCACAAATCCTGCAAATAGCATCTCAAGATGATTACTGCATTCAAAAAAGCTTTGGCTTGGGTAATTTCTCGAGCTTGGCTCGCAAAGGTTTTTGAATATGTTTCTCAAATATCAAGATCTCTCCACCCAGCGAAACAAACAACAGAAGAGGCAGACTTTTATTCTACTGGAGGCTTCCATCCCGTTTCGCTTGGAGACACTTTCAATTCTGGCACATACAAAGTGGTAAGGAAACTAGGCTACGGACAATATTCTACCGTTTGGTTAGCTAGGGATTCCAAGTGAGTATAGTTCTCCATATTTATTAAATATACAGCTTATCGAGTACTGAAGAGTTCAGATATATATGGCTCTCAAAATACTAAAAGCAGACTGCTCCGGTGGCTCGCACGACACCTTTAGGCGAGAAATCCTCGAGAAAATTATCCGATATCTCTGGGAAAACCAACCATGGAGGCCGGTACTACGTGTTACCCCCTCTGGATCAATTCAAACATGAAGGGCCAAATGGACAATATATTTGCTTTGTATTCGATGTGTTAGGCTACCACTTGGATTTTCAAACCGCAAAATACGAAAATGGGAGATTGCCTATCAAGGCAGTAAGAATTATAGCGCGACAGCTTCTACTAGGGTTGGATTTCGTCTATAGGGAGTGTGGAATTATTCATATAGGTACTACCATACGTTACGAACCACCTCCTACTTATAATAATGATACTAATTATGGTCGATATATAGATTTAAAACCTACGAATATAATACTCAAGCTAGAAGATCTGGAATAAACTATTGAGAAATATCTATCTAAATTTCCTATACAGGTTAGTAATGAGTATGGTATCACAAGGCCACTCCGGGAGGTCATCAGGACGCCGCTTATCTCGGAGATACGTAAGCCGCATATCAGAATAGTTGACTTCGGTATTTATATACATAACTCGTCGTATCATCTTTCTGGGCGATACTTACACTGGTTATAGCTTCTTGGTCAGACAATCACCTGTCGGATATGATTCAATCCCCAGTTTTACAAGCACCAGAAGTCACAATCGGTACCCATTAGGATGAGAAGGTTGATATCTAGAGCCTCGGTTGCCTTATAAGTATTCAATCTATTCACCCAAAATATGGCGAGCTTTTCTTTTATATCCTAATTCTTAATAGATTATTGAGTTTATCCAGGGGATAGTACTTTTCTCGGGAGTGACATCAAACAAGGGCTCGTAGACAGTTAATGATGACCGGCTCGTAAGAACCATCGAAATACTTGGCAATTTCCCGCCTGAGTTCCTTCGGAAAGGAAACAGAACTGCGGAGTTTTTTAACACTGATGGTATGCCTTTATTTGAAAAATGAAGTGCGGATATCATAAGTTCCCCATTTTACTGATAATACTTAGGCGGTCTTCTTCGAATCCCAGATCTGACATCGACTAGTCTTGAAAGGCTCATCGATGGCGCTGAAATGCCTTTCATCAAACCCAACGACATGTCGAACGCTGAAATTCCCATCTTCATTGAGTTCCTTCGAGGTATGCTTACAATTGACCCGACACATCGAAAGTCGGCCGCAGAACTGCTGGACCATGAATGGCTTAAAATGTGACTACTCCAAAATGTCAATTGGAATGAAGAGAGGTAGTGTCATCTCATTGCACTTTTCATAAGAAATTTAAAGCTTTCATCTCAAATGGACCGTAGGATAAGATAATTGACTGCATCTTGGTCTGTTGGCAGATTGAATCTCCTAGGTCAACGATGACATCTCCTCCGGCGTTCCAGAGCGCAGCTTGGCAGTCATTCGGCAAAGGGCGACGCAGAAGTTGAATAACTCGGCGGTATAAGCCCTGCATCTCTGATCACGGGCTAGATCATACAAGCAATGATGACCTTCCGTCACACGCATTTTCCAGGATAGTCCAGAGCGCCTTTGTTGATTTGATGGGCGTGAGGACCTGGCGAAGCAAAGCACTTGGCTTCCGATCGAATTAAAAAAAAAAACAAAAAGAAAAACATACAACAGTGAGGATTCGCTGGTGGTCACCCACCCAACTACTAACTCACCGGCGTGTGGCTTAAGTACGGCTGAGCGGACGGGAAGCCCTGTTTTCCACACCCTATGGTCGTATGTATTAGTTCGGATATCAGAGAGGATTATAAAGTGAAAGGATTTAGCAGCCAATGTTGGACACACATCTCCAGGGGTGCTGGAAGTTTGGATAAATAAAGCCGGAGGGATCAGCTGATTCTCTTGCGAGTCACATGACTACTCCCCAGATCCACCCGATGTTTACTCCGTACTTTTCTCTCAACCTCTAGAGCCCGTTCAAGGTTATGATGGCCCAATTTATCCGAAAATTGTTCAGCCAGGCGTCTGTCTCCATTCAGCTTCTTTCTGATCTTCACTTGGAAGTGAATCAGCAATACACATCATTTGACGTGCCAGTCGTCTCCAAATATCTGCTGCTCGCCGGGGATATTGGGCGTTTAGCAGACTACGATCAATACCTTCGTTTCCTCCAAAGGCAAACGGAGAAATTTGAGTTGGTTTTTCTTGTCCTCGGCAATCATGAGTTCTATGGCGGATCCTTTGAGTCGGCATTCGAAACAGCGAGGCGACTTGAACAGGAGCCATCTTTAAATGGACGACTCATTTTACTCCACCAACGACGATATGACATCCCAGACTCCCATGTCACCATACTGGGATGTACTCTTTGGTCTGATATTCCCGAAAACTCCAGAGATATTGTCCATTACAAAATCCAGGATTTCCAGAAAATCAAGGATTGGACGGTCGACGAGCATAATGCGGCGCATAAGTCCGACTTGAATTGGCTACGCAACGAGGTCCAGTCAATTTATAATACCCACAAAAAAAATCCTACAGAATCATCGAAACGGTCGATTCTGGTCGCGACACATCATGCACCCGCTATGCACCGCACATCGAGTCCACAGCATGCGAAGAATCCTTGGAGTGCTGCATTCGCCACGGACTTATTATCACAGCCGTGGAATGGTGTGAACAATTGGGTGTTCGGGCATACACATTACTCAACGGAGTTTAAGGAGAGGGGGATTAGGGTTGTGAGTAACCAACGAGGTTATATACTTCCATGGAGCAATGAGGCCAATGGGTTTGATGCAGGGAAGGTCATTTGGGTATGATTTCCCGAGAAATAACGGATGATAATCATGTAGCTAGGAAGAAAGAAGAATATATCCATGAAAATGTACTACAACAAACAAAGAGGGAGCATTTCATTCCAGATACCAAGTACGAAAAATGAATAGTATGACTTTTATATCGTAGGTACCTTTTGTATGGGCATACCACACAAAATGTACCTAATTTTAGAAAAGTATCTGTTGAGTGGGACCAATACACGGAAGGCACGATGGGGCGGGCCGCAAAGATTAAAAGCGGGGAAGGCAGAATATCCATTTCGGGAAAGACAATGCAGTCCGATCTTGATGCCTTCAAATTCCCCTCTCAGCCCATGATTGAATAATCCCCCTGTTACTCTCCTCGTACGGTTTAACCTCCACGGTTTCTCCATCAACAAACGTATTAGGTTGAGTGAATTTCCATCTTGGTCTTGGCTTCGAGCACACAATCTGCCGCCACTGTTCGTACATCCCCTCAACAGCACACATGGGCTCATAGAACTCCTTGCAGGAGGAAATATCGGCTGTACACCGCCATATGTGTAGGCGACAGAGGTAGCGGCCCAAAGAGGGTTTGCCGTGAGAGATGATTTTGTTCCGGTCGATATGGACGGTGAGAGTGGAGGTATTGGGATCATGGGAGATTTGGATGGCGCCGCCGCCATCTTGTAGAAGGTGTTTCAGGATGGAGAAGTGAGCCTAGGCAGCAGATTATTTTTAATAAATCTGGAGCATGAAAAGGTAGGTATACATACCTGGTGGTGGACTTGCCCCCAAGCCTTATTTTCAAAGTTATAATGCTCGAGAGCCTGAAGTCCATCGACACCGATGTTGAGATAGGTGGTATAAAGGACTAACATTGGGTTAGTAGGCTAAATTCACGGTCGTGGTAGCACTTACGGTCGTCAGCCGTGATTTCACTAGTATCGGTGTACCCGAAAATACACAACAAATCCTTGTTGTCCATGAGATATTCCGAGACTAGAATAGCACGACATTCCTCCACTGTTCCTGCCAAATTTCCAAAAACGCTATTCCAAGTTTGGCCAGGTAAATAGTGCGAAGTCACGGCTTTTCCGTTCAGTGGACTGAGCGGCGGGTTCTGCTGGTCAAAGTTGTAGATGCCTGGAGCGGTTTCGCTGAGGAGTATACCAGTCCCGTGGCCTACCAGCTCATGAATAGCGGTGGTGAGAAATCTGACAATATGTGTGCTCTTGCGGAAGTGCTCTAACTCTGATGGATCGACCCAAGGCACTGGTAGATTGGGATTATTGTTAACACTGAGACGATTCGCGAGAACGATGTTCTTAAAGCCATAATTTTCTCGAATATATTCGTACTAATTCCATTGTCAGCTTCATTCAATCCAGAAAAACCCTTTCACAGCTTACATTGGGAATATTAGCGGCTTCGAAGACGACACTGCCGCATACAGCAAGTGCTAAGGGAATTAGTATATCATTTTACTTGCCGGGGGGACTAATCTCTCTCTCACCATGGACGCTGGTAAAGTCAGGAGCTTCAAATAGACTCTTCTCAAACGGGCCTTTCCCATCGTTGACGCCATCGACTGCCCATGGGAGTTGTCGAATGATGGAAGTTGAACTCCCAACAAAGCGCTTCAACCTTGACGTTTCGCCCGGATCGGAAATTCCGATCATAGCTTCCCACTCCGACCTGATCCCGGCCGGATCACGATAACTCTCGATGAAACCAATCATATTCTCTACTCTTGCAGCTACATCCATTACCCACGCCTTTTGTGACTCCTGGTAAGCTTCAAGGCTACCAGTTCTAAAGGATTCGATGTAGAGCTCCAGGAACCGGGCTTGCCTGCTGTTGCTGACGTATTCTTTTGCTCTCGTCAGATCCGAGCAGATCTTCGACATTTCCACCGAGTGGTCGCCTCTAATGATGAATATGTCATTTGCCAGTTTGTGTAGACCGTTGGCGGGAACATCACTCTCCGCGGAAGCTTGAAGCAAATGATATATAGGTTTTCCATTCTGAATTAGCTTTTGAACTCGGGTATTCTCTCCCAATGGAGTGTTCAATCATTGCCTCCGACACTCGAGCAAGCTCCTTTTGGGATATGAGTTCAGTGCCAGGGTAATAACCCGACTGTGCGCTCTTGCTGGGATATCCAAGGTTGAATGGCGGGACTGCCAATAGCGGACCGATGATTTTGTCTAGGCCTTCCTTTGTCTTTTGGGAGATGCTTGCGATCCTTTGCAGTGCTTCGGCTGTCAGATTTGGGACGAACTTTTGGTCTCCTTCGCCCTGATTACACAGTCAGTGCTGTGGCTAGAAGGATTTCGCCGAACTTACATAGAAGTTTCCTAAGTTACAGAGGAACATTGCGGCATACTCCAGAAATCTTTCGAGTTCTTCGAATGTGACATTGCACTGGGTGACTAGGGTGTCCCAGTTTCCATCGCAAGCATGATAGAGGTCCATGATGAAGTCGAAGATGCCTGGGCTTTCTGGCGATACCTGCCGCATGATAATTCTGCTCCCATGCCATGCTGCCCGTGCACAATAGTGAGCATAGAACTTCTCCCGCGGCTCAAGAGCATCGAAAATCGGCTTTATGGCTAGCTGATGGATTGGTGTGCCAGGAGGCGGGGTAAAGGAGCTTTGGGGAACGGACATGGTACTTGATGCAGCGGTGAGGGAGGTTGTGAATGATAAGAGGTTCAGGGAAAGTTGAAACAGTTCACTTCAAGGCCTGGAAAAAAGGCAAGGTAGATATCGTGGAATGAGGCCCAGATAGATATTCAATGTGGAGGAGGGGTAGACTGATTCATGCTCGAAACGACGTAGCGCCGTAAAAGCGATGGGGAGCTCAGTCAGCGTAGTTTGCAGGGATTGGGGCTGCGCTACCCAATGGCCCCTCACATACGCGAAAGCTTCCTACAAACTGTTCGCGCCACTGGTGACTATTTTATCCTGGATAGGTGTCATACATGACAGGGATCGCGGGGAATTAATTCATCTATTTAAATTATATACATACACTCTTCCTTGTTCAAGTTTTCTAGAGAATGGCACTAGATGAAAGATCTCTATGAGCAAGAACATATGTGCATGCACCATCAAAAGAGCAAAGGGACAAAAAGAGAAAGAGAAAGGAGAAGATGAAAGAGAGCAGAGAGCTATCCAACATGGTTGTAGCTCAGGACGTCACACAAGTTCGTGGCGAATCGTAGTAGAACCCGGTGCCTCCTGAATTTCCTCACTTGGATGATGTGTATACAACTCGTTCACTTGAAGTGGCGTCTCCTTTTCAGCTGGACTCGGTGCAATGCTATATTCATCCATGGTCCCAGGTTGCGACTTTGTTGTTGGCTTTCGACGAGAGATAATCGCCCAAGCAATGATCCCAATCAACACCAAGCCACCAATAGCACATCCAATACCAATGCCAGCCTTTGCCCCAGTTGAGAGACCTGGATTGGAGCTGCCAATACCAGTTGACCCAGTTGAGAGAGTCGAGTTGGACTACTTCGACGAAAGAGGTACCCAATACCCGTCCCAGCTGTCTTCCCATGAATTGGCTGAAGCCTGGATTGAGGTATCACTAATCCCAATGCTCTGCTGAACACCTGATCCGATCCCCGGTCCAGGTGCTTGTGCCAAAAACCAGTAACCGCCCCCGATACCCTCTTGCCAGTCTGTGCCAATGAAGGCTGCTTGGAGGAAAGCTCTGCCGAGGACGAAGGAGTCGGAGGGATAGCATGGGAAGTAAGTTGTGTTGTGTTCTACTAGTGGCTCTTGAAGGGTAAGCTTTAGAAGTTGGAAAGGAACTTTTATGGTGATATTTTGAGTGTTTGTCGCATCCTTCTCAAATGTGAAGGACATATATGCCGGGGAGGATGTTATTTTCTCGTAGCTTTCGTCGTGTGTGTTCCAGAAATATAGACCCAGATCTTCGTTAAATGTAACCGGGAGCTCCGCTGCCATTGTATCACAGACCTGTTTAGGAAGATAGAGGTAGGGAAGTGTAGGATCGATCTCCACTGTTTTCGCCCTGCTGGTGATGCTATCTCCCCATTTGAACAGTCCGGATTTATTTTCAAAGCCAAATGGTGACCCCCCCGTGGCGACTCCTATCCCGATGTCTTCGAGATAAATCATAAGCTTGCCGAGATGGTTCGTCGCATCAACCTGTTGAGAGCTTACTTGATCCAACACTCGGCTTTGATCATACCCGCCAAGCATCAGTGAGCCTGGAATGTCAGGTTCCACAGACCCAATGTGCATCCCCCATGAGTATGAGGGGATACGATCAGAGGAAGAATCGTTCCAGTGCTCCCAAGCAGATAACAAATTGAACTTGTTCCCCTGCACTACGTGGATAGGCTTCGGACCTCCCAGCGACAAGATCCCCACAGAAACAGGGTATTGTTTTCCATTCGGGTATTCTTGGTAAGCATCGTAGATAGACGCCATGGAAACATTTGGTATTGTATGTCCATTTTGCAGCCTGATCGTGTCGGCGAGAACCCCTTCTTTGACATATCCGGTACCACCCCATTTATTCACGCCGGCACTGCTCTGATCGGACAGCCAGGTTATCTGGCTCGGGTCGGTGGGCGTGTTCAAGGTGACCGCAGATGTTGAGGCGTTTATGTCGAAGAGACCAGCTCGTCTTGCATAACAGGGAGTTGAGTTGTTTGGGCAGACGGTATCGAGAAGAATGGTACTAGCCCATCGGTCGCCTGGGTAGAGATCAATGGGCTGGTTTTTGGATCCCAATTCAACTGACACGGCGTGCCATGGGCCATCTGGACCATAGGTTTGATCGGACCATAACATTGTCCAAGGAATACCATCTGCATGCACTATGACTGCAGTGGCGAGCAACCAACAGAAGATATATTCCATAGCATAGGGGGCCATCCTGAAGAGCGGCTCTGCAGTATGATGGGAAGAATGGGAAATAATGGCTGTAGAAAGCGAAATGCGGGCGTCATTTGGTCACTAGCTAGAGGGCCTTGGCATAATTTGATGGGCGCGTAATTGAGATTTGGGGGATTAAATTTTTACAGAGCACACACCGTTGAGACGGGCGCTACGTAGGAGGGCATGCAGGGGACATGTGGATACTGTCTTTAGTGTGATAAGCCGGAGGCGCTGTGGCTTTTCTTGTTGGCAAGGAGTGATGTTTCAAGCTATACGGAGGCAATGCGCTCAGTATAGCGCTCATTTGTATGGAATAGATTTCTGTGAATTTATCTTCACCAAAACAATGAGCTATCTCGACCTTTTTGGATACATCCCCTTCCATGTCCGAGGATCCTCGGGGAAGCCGTGTATGGGGGCTATAAATGCGATTCTTGGCATGCGCGCAGCCGGGGTAGAGGTGTTTTAGTTGCTTCCTTTGGCTGCATAATTAATGCAGAGGCTTCTAAAACCGAGACCCCGCAGAGGACAGTTTTGGGAGCAAGAGCAACGACGTGTCTTGGTCCAATAACAAAATAGGAAGTACCTGTGTATGGCAATTGTTCATGATTCAGCCCTGGTCCCTGGAGCGGTCCGGAGGCGCCCGCAAAACGGAGATCTTCTATCTCCACGAACAAGATACAGTGACCTGAAACACGCTACCAGCCTCCCCTCTTCCCTGTCCAACTTGAAGTCCTAGACATCTTGTGCGTGTAAAATATACCGCTTGATGCATGAACACACAAACCTATTTTCAAGCCCAAGTGCCAAGACAGTAGCTGGGAAAATGTCTGACCAGACATTCATCCTCCCCTGTTCTCCCTCTATCCTGCGTCCAGATCGCTTCGACTTCGTTTCTTCCGAGGAAATTGAAGTTCCATTTTGGCGGATTTTGTCATGCATCTTGGCCGAGTCATTAAACACTGTGGCTGACAGCTCGTCCCTCATCGATACCCTGGAAACGATATCGGTTGTTCTACACGGAGAGGCTGCCAGGAACTACGTATTCCTACAGGAATTTCTAGACACTTATCTGGCAACGTCCACTCCTGGATCAAGCAAGTTCTTTACATCAACATGGCCACGTCTAGTCGGTCTTGCCTTGGAACTACCATCTTTATTCCCGAGCCTCTCCATCCCCCCGCTGAAAAGCGACGAGACTAGCCAGATTATTTTAAGCAGAAGGCAGGTTGCATGTTTGGTTGTACACTAGTTCTTGTGCTCCTTACCAGCCCATCCATGGCAGACGGAGTCCTTCGTTGATCTGTCACCGTGGTACTCGGCTGGAGACGCAATGCACCAGGGTGCTGTGCAGGCGTATCTAACCGCCCTATTCACGTACTTTGAAGCTATAGCGGCCTCCGAACCAGAGGGTGGAATTCTGTACCACTCAGTGGAAGACTGGCCCATTGTTTTCGCGTTAATAGTTATGCCTGACGACCAATCATACTTCCTTCTTTCCAACGCACCAGCCCCATTGAGCCGCTTGGCAGTTGTCCAACTCCCAAACCAATCAACAGACATCGAATCCCTCGGTCTTCCAGATGGCGCTTGCGTGATATCTGCTAACAAGAGCGTGGGATTCGGAGTGACAGGTACTCAAGAAGAGCTTCATGTGGGTATTTTACCCGAGGTATACCCAGTGACACTGCTAGCGCCCCCTCTGAAGGACCGCCAGGTCCTTACCTGTCAGGGTGCCGAAGCAATGGTTACTACTAAAGGACACGGGAGACGGGCCTCCTTGGACGAAGTATTGCATGGCAGACCAATACCATCTTCTGCTGACTGGCGCAACCGGGTCATGCTATTCATGGACGCCCTGGAATTGGACCTTGTAGACAGCGGTCATCCGCACAGTGGAGAGAGCATTCCGGACCTGATACCAGCCTGTCTACATCGGGAATTGGTGAAGGCCTACACCGCGTTCTCCTCGCATTATTGCAGGAATGTCCGGAAGCCCTACTCCTTTGTCACTACTGGGCTTTGGGGCTGCGGTGCTTTTGGCGGAAATAGACAGGTTAAAGCGATAATCCAGTGGTACGCTGCATCCATGGCAAATGTACCTGAGCTTCGATATGTCGTAGCTGGCCCAGAGCAGAAAGGATTTGGAGATGAGCTCAAGAGGTTCGTCGGCCTGGTGGCAGAACACACTAGGAGAGGATTGGAGCCGCAGAAGCTCTTTGATGTGCTTGTCCGCCTGGGGACAGAGATCCAGAATGGGAAGTGCGCTGTTCCTCCTAAGCCAGATGGGATTTTCAAATATGTTTTAAAAAGCCTGTAAGGAGTGCTGGCTATCTTGTACTCCGTATAATCATTCCAGTTCTAGTTACGTGCAGATGCCAAGATGCAGAGCGTTTCAAGGGAAACAACATGATGCAATGATATTCTGCCGTTGTTCACCCCGATTCTCACTCTGTCTATAGCGTACTCACCCTTCTCACCGAGGTCGCGCGACCGTAAAGCGGCGCTCACCCAATTCTCACCTGCCTATTCTTCTTGCACTCGGTCTTTTCAAACCCCAATTATCTTGCTCTATATACCTCTCCCCCACTTAAACTGGTACATACGACCATAGGGTGTGGAAAATAGGGCTTCCCGTCCGCTCAGCCGTACTCAAGCCACACGCCGGTGAGTTAGTAGTTGGGTGGGTGACCACCAGCGAATCCTCACTGTTGTATGTTTTCGTTTTTGTTTGTTCAGTATAGCAATAGCATAGGCCCCGTTGTAGACCCCTATACTAATAATATTTTAGAAATTAAGCTTAACGAGACATTTGACATGATAAGGTCTGTAAGTTATTAGCTAATATATTCTAACCCAATAACTAGTTAACTAGGTATATTCTTTCTAACCATTTGGAGCGATTCCTGTCCGTATTTTTCTAAATCCCTGTAGGAATTTATCAAGGCCTGGGGATCCTCGAGTTAGCTTTACAATGATATAGTGGTCGGAGAGCGTACCGTGAGGAGCGAGGTCCTTATGTCACTAGCCAATCAGAGCTCACTGTGGCCCATATTGGATTATATAAGCGGGTATAAAACCCGAACCTTGGAGAGATATAATACATAGTGTTCAAAAAGTCTGTTCCCACTGCCCCACTTGCTATCTCCCCAACAACCATCGTGTTTTTTTTTCTTCTTCCTACACACCCCCCAATGGTATTAACCAAGGATATTCTTGGTTTAGGTCGTACAAAATCAGGTGAGCTATCCCTAGCACAACGCTCAGCTATTATTTATAGCTATCAGGCCGGTATTACCCAGTCAAAGCTAGCACTCGATTTTAGGTGCTCCCGCCGAACGATTTACAATACTTTAAAACGGTTCAAAGAACATAATACTGTTAAATCTCTCCCTCGAACCGGTCGCCCGAGGATCTTTAGTGATCGAACTCGCCATTTACTTTTTATACTCGCCCGCCGGCACCCCTTTTGGTCCTATAAAACGCTGAGTTATGCTATACCTGGTCATCCATCCCGCTCTACTATTATTAACGTTTTAAGGCCAACCGGTCTTCTAAAATATAGGATAAAAAGGAAGATTCTAATCGGAAAGGAATTAGCTCGACGACGATATCGTTTTATTCAAAAATAGCGCTCTGAGTGGTCTGGAAATAACGTTCAAAACTAGGTCTTCTCGGATGAGTGTTCTGTATAACGAATAACAAACTGCGGACTATAATGGTATTGGCGCTTTCGGTCGGAAGGCTATAGAAAAGATCTTGTGAATACTAAGGTATACGTTAAAGATATTTCATAAATGGTTTAGGGTATAATCTGGTTAGGTGGTCGATCAGAGTTGATTATTATAAGGCAGGAGAATATTATTAACCCGGAATCGAAGAAGATAGGATATACTGCTATTTCCTATATAGATACTCTCGAAGAAGGTCTACTTCCATTCTATCGACCCTACTCTATCTTTCAGTAAGATAACGCTCGGATCCATACTGCTAAAATCACACAGGAATGGTTTGAAACTCATAGGATATATGTGGAGGAGTGGCCGCCGCACTCACTGGATTTAAACCCAATTGAACCTATATGGCGGTGGCTAAAGGTTAAACTTTTTGAGTTATTTCCTGAGCTGATATATATGGGAAGGTCTGAGGAGGATTAGATAGTATTCAAAAGGTATATAAAGATAGCATAGGATGCTATTCCGCAGTCGAAGATTAATTCATTGATTTTGAGTATGGGGCGCAGATGTATGGCAGTACGGAAGGCAAAGGGGTATTATACAAAATATTAAATTTAAATTTTACCCGAGATTGGCATAGGGTTTAACCCTGTTTTATTCGAAGTAAATTGAGTAAAGTATGGTGGTGCTATGCATAGATATGTAGATATATATATTTCAATGTTCATGGGTGAAAATGCGGGTGGGAACAGACTTATTAAACCCCACTGTAGTCTCGCGAAGAGCACTAATCAACAGTAAAACTTCCCTTAATGCTATTGAAGCCCCCGTGCAAAGAATTCTAGCCACTCAAGTCCGTGATCCAGTCCCATCTCCATACGACAACATCAGCCCCAAGAAGTGTTCAGGGAGAGTCGCGATTCTTGCCAGGACCCTTCCACCCCGTACCCCGTACCGGACAAACCTCTAGAATGGCTACCCTTTTGCCCCACGGATATCGTTCCGCAACCGAATACTGTTTCGAAGAAGAATAAACCGAAGCCATTGTTCGAACCACCGCCTACCACCGCAGAGACTACAGTCTATCCGTTATCTGGTTCTCGCCCCGTGAATACGTCGATATTCGCCTATCAATAGTAACACCCTTTCAGCGGACATCAATTGTTAGAGTCGGCTCCCTAGATCGGCTACCCCTCGAGCTCTTATTTGACACATTGTACTGTCTGGACTTACATTCTCTGTTCAAATTTCGACAAATAAATCTCCGATCAAGATAATTGGTAGATTCTGTCAACTAGTATCAGAGGGTAGTCTCTCATGGACTGAGCCTCTTCTGTGCTTTATTACGAACGCGACTTGCCATCGACGTTTCTCTACTCGACTTTTATAACGCATTATGTACTAAGGCATGCAATCTCTGCGGCGAATTCGGCGGGTTTATATCCCTCCTAATTTGGAAGAGGTACTGTTTTAATTACCTCCAGTGGTCTTTGGAAACCCAAGTGCGGACTCTCGCCTCAGTCCGAAGGCAATTTCACATGACTAAAGCCGAATTAGACTAACTGAGGTCATTTAAGGCCTTGCCTGGAATATACTCGATGAATGAATCTGTACAAAATTCCCGCATTACAATCGTTTCTCTCCATCAGGTCACTTTGGCTTGTAGACGGCAACCGCCTAGACTTCTGCAAGCCCAATCAGCTGGCTTAGACCGAAATCATAAAATCAACTTCATGGGGTCGTGTGCACTTCCTTATTACGATAAACAGACTGGCAGAGTGGAATACGGAATTTCGTGTGCTGGGTGTCAACTTGGTATTGAAAAAGGTATTATCGGTACTAGGGGCACGGAATGGGGATACAAGGCTCGAGACAAAGTGTATGCGCAAGACGGCTTTTTGGAGCATTTTCAGTAGTGTGAACAGGCACAGCTCCTATGGAGATCGAGTGGCGAGGGTAAAAACCGGCCACCCGAGCTACCTATGTCTGCTCTGACAGGGGGCTACTTTCGAAGAAGAGAATGACAATCATATAGAGTCCATTTACTAATGTGTTGCAGCCAACTATGAGTGACTCTACTCGAAACCGACAGGCAGCTGTCTTTTTTAGGAGCTTGCGGTATACTCACAGGTAAAGTGCAGGTCTTGGAGGGAGCCATCTTGAAGATGAACTACGATGTACAACAGATGTGGTACAAATCCACGGCCCGTAATTTTAATAATAATTATGTCATTGTTCTGGCTTAGAGTTCAGCGACAGCACTATTCACACTCCCGTGTCCAACTTTCTCTGCGGATTCAAATTCCCTACTCTGCTACCGGACACCAATCGTAGTTCCCATTATCGTTGTTTCCCCACCACGTTGGGAATGGGTGCGAAGGTCCACCAGCGCCGAAAACAGCAAACGAGAGGATGAAGAGAACCGTCAAACTAGCGCCATCAAAGGCGCCGGTAATGAGATATGAATAATCCTTGAAAATCCGCGGCTTATAGTTGCGGAGATAATACTGAACGTAGAACCCGGCGGTGATCCAGGTGAAGATGACGCAAGTCTGGCTTTGGTTGTAGGGAATATAACCGGCGTATTGGATGTACTGCGGGAGATTGATTTCCGCGACGTCGAGCTTTCCGATTTTGGGTACAAACTAAAAGTCAAACGGACGTCAGCTTCAAGTGGAATAGGGAAGAGCTTTGGGGTTACTCACATGATAAAAGATACGGTGAACAACCACGGCACCAGCTCCAACGGCTAAACCAATAGGTATAGCCCCGTATGGGGTACCAATCTTATAGATATAGGGAGCCAAAGCCCATGATGCGGCATTGGTGTTGTAAGATTGTATGCCTGCACCACTCCAGGAGGAATTTCCATTGCCGTCGGTGAGAAGCGCTCGATTGCTTGACACAATAGAGATCATGATGGCGTAGTTGACGAAGCCACCAAGAATTGTGCCGTACAACTGTGTCAGGAACATGATCCGGGGCGGGATTTTGACTAAAAGGTAAGTTAAAAATATACCCTCTAATCAAAACAACGACAGAGGTACTCACGGTATTCACCCATCTTCAGGTCATTGGAAAGCATAACCGCATTTGAAATGACGTTATGCGACCAAGCAGCGAAGTACATGTTACCGACCGGGCGTCCAGGCAGGATGAGTCCAGCCAGCATTTTTGACAAATTGTTGGTTGCAATACCATTGCCGAAGCGAGAATAGAGGATGACACTCTATAGCACGGTCATAGTCAGTTTTGCTGCATGAAGCTCACTATCGAGGATGTTGTACTCACGAAGGGGGCGATAATGCATCCTACTAGCAGTGAGATAACATATGCCCAAACCGACAAGGTGATGTTTTCTTTCACAGTCACAATTATGCCGAGAACAAAGCTGCCAACAAGCACGACGATATACCACCACCACGGAGCCTCTTTGTAATGCTTGGCCATATGCTCATGGTGCCGGTCATCATATCTACCCTCTCTCGCGCTTTTATAGGAGCGACGGATATCCTTGCCCCAAAATAGGATGCAATGAACGATCAGGGCACCCATTGCTGCGTTGGCCATGAACATGGCGAATGCAAAAGTTCCAGTGAGCCTCGGCAAGCCAAACTTGGTCAGGGCAGTCTCGTCGAGGACACCACCGGGGAAAACGTCGTGCAAGGGGTATGTGGTGCCGTTGTTCGTGAGCATTCTCGTCGACATGAATGGAAGTGATCTCGAATTCCAGCCATTTCCGTAATAAATGCCTATCATAATAAAGAAGCAGGAAAAAAGTCCAGCTGCCTGATGAATTTGCAGTTTGAGAGGGAGCGAGGTTTGGAAAGAGGTGAGCTGCTTCTGTTAGATGACTTGCTAGATCAATGTGTTAGGGGGCATCATCTCACATATTGCCAATCGAACGAGAACGAAAATAGACCAAGACCCTGATTGTTGGTGGCTCCACCAAAGATATTGTTGAGTACGGCACCAGTTTCACCGGTGGCCTTTTGTGCAGCCAGACACTATAAAGTCTGAAGTTAATAACTTGTTCCAATGGGATTTTCATAATCAGAAAAGCTCATTCGAAGAGGTCAAGACGACACTGAAATACCACGTACCGGAATAGAAACAGAGTTTAGCCACGGGAAGATGTAGGCAGGAATTATCTCGTATATCGACATGCCAGTGAATGCATACCAAAAGTATCGAAGTGGTTTCGAGTTTTTGACTTCCTGCCAATGAAGTCCCTGGAGAGTCTTGACGGTAGGCAAACTACTCCAGTAGACGGCCTCGGTGTGCCAGACA